CGTCGTCGGCGCTCTCGGACTCCTCATGCGAATCACTCCGTAACTTGGCCTGATCCTGCGGTGTCGATCCTGGCCGTGGCAAAGAACACGGAGTTGTTTCGATGGCTCCTTGGGCTATCGGTTGAACGATTGACTTTGAGGGTTGTGGGGATTTTCCGAGCTGCGCTTCGGCTGTGCGCAGCTTGGAGGTTAACTCCTCCACTTTCTTCTCAAGGTCAACAACATAGCTAAATTTTGCGTCAGTCAAGTGCTTTGATTTGCGATCCTGAAAGAGATTTAATTCTTCACAGTAGGAAGAAGTGGCAATCGAACATACGTTGCAGACCGGCTGCTCTCACGCTCTCGGTAAGTCCCCTGATACACGCACTCCAGTTGACTCTCTAAAGGAGGGGTTAGTCTATCCAGGCAGGAACTTTCCGACAGTTTCACAACCCACTTTTACAATGTAGACAGGGATATTGCTCGTCGCACTTATACTTCTTCGTCCTGCAACGGTCGCACGCCTGGGCAGCACGCGGCCGTTTGGCCCGCTTGGGAGTCGGCTCGTCCGCCATGGATGCGAGCGGACTCTGATTTGTTTGCATTATCCCATAATCCGCCTGGGAGGGGGATCTGAGATCTGGAATCTGGAGTCTGGGGTATACTGGCGCTAGAAGATGCAGTTGAGAACGAACGCGGTCCGGAATTTCCGGATTTTGGCATTTCCCAAGACCGCCACGTGATGCATCACGGTGGCGTTATTTCTGGGGAACCAATCACGGATGTTGGTAACACAAACTTAATATTTTTTTAATAAATTATTGCTGTCAGGCTACTAGAGCTATCTGGTAAATGACTCGGCAGATTTGCGAAGCGGAGTTCACCGTTAGGTGGGTTATTGGAGGGCTGCAGCTGGGATTTTTGCGTCAATTCGTGATATGTATAACTATGATCCAAAACTAGTATATGTACTATCTACACCGAAAGTAAAAGCTTCCTCCATTCTCCCATTTGCCTCCGAGAATTATGAGAGGTTAATGCCGAGACTCTCAGCTGCAGTGGCTAATTGGGATGCATCCCACTCGACAGCCTGGTCCGGCAGAACAAATTGTTCGATGGGCTTGCCGAGCTGGTGGATCAAGGATTCGATTCCATCGCCATCGGAATACGAGTGGACCTTAACGTACTTGCTCTCGAACCCGAGGGAGAAGGCCTGACCAGCAGGAATAACAACTGTCTCGCCCTCTCGGAAAAGAGTCTCGCCTGAGCCTTCTAGGCTGACTTTGAGAGTTCCCGCCATGACGCAAAGACAGTGGTCCACGGTCTTGAAGGTCATGTACTTGGAGAAGACGGTTTCTCCGTATTCCTTGGATGACTCAATGCTTGAGATAGCAAACAACCCGGCGCTCTGTTCGGTGGTAATGAATGGTCGGGACATAACCCCACCCAGCATCCAGCGGGGACCCGTGTTGGCGCGCAGGAAATACCCTTCGTTGCCCTGTGGCAACTTCTCATCATCCTTCGTCCAGTCACTGACCTCCGGGGGGACATAATTGGGTTGGAAGACAACATCAAACTTTCCCTTCGCGGCCATGACTTTAGGGATCAAGATGGACTTGAGGTCACGGTTGTCCGTCTCGGGTACCAGGATTCCCTCGTAGGGCTCCGACACGTAGCGGAAGAAGTCTACCCAGTCTCCGGGGGTAATCAAGCCCTGGATTTCAGTATGCGGGCCGATCATCTCGGGGTTGTGAACAACGGTCTAGGAATACTATCATGAGCTATGATCCAGTGGGGTTGGGGAGGTCAATGCATACCGGAGGAACATAGGCAAAATCACCAGGAGCCATGATCCGGCACTGGTCTCCGTTCCATAGCTTTAAATATCCTTTTGTAACCAGGAAGACATCATGGGCCTTATTATGGTAGTGAAAGCCGGGGGCATCCGACAGAGTAGCACCACTCTGGAAGACGGCCATCAAGCCCCCAGTCTGTTTGGAAGAAGTCAAAATACGGAAGACGCCTTTACTTCCGGGGATAGTAATGCGCTCTCCCTCAAGCTGAGGGATGGCATAAGGAACCCGTGAATCCGGGGGTTGGGTTGAGAAAGGAAGCGACATTGTGTAGATAATTTTGTGTGTTATGGTGAATGGCAATCTGGGGGAGAGTCTTGGAAGTTTTAAACTCGCATGGGAGCTGTTCGGCATGCGGGGGACTAAAAGCCGAGAGCGGAGAAGCCGTAGAAGTCGGAAGATCCGAGTAGCCCAGCGCTCTGTGCTGCGGGCCTACTTTCTCCAATAATGAATTGTGATTCGCCGTGATTCCTTTTCACCCCGCGGGGCTCGGTGTTCATGAATCAGACGCGTCTTTTTCAAACTTGAGGGGTTTGTCGGCTTGTCTAGTCTGGTATCCAAACACGGTCAGCTATGAGGGGGCATTTTGGCCCAACATTTCTAGATCATGCCACTATAATCCAGCCTGAGGGAAACCAATTACTCTCAACTTGAAATTTTAATTTGATTTGAAATCGAATTTGAGCAAGGAACTGTGGGCAGATGTCAGCTCCCACTTGGTTCCCCACGAAAGTGGTCGATGGTGGGGGACTTCCCCGCGATGTCTTATCTAGGACTTCTTAACTTCTCACGAGGCAATTAATGTAGTAGTACGTATAAATATCAAACCAGAAACTCAATCTGTGATAACTGAACTATTCAGATCAGCTGTACTTTACGATCTACTAGTGGTACATCGTAGAACCCCCAATGCCCCACGAGATGTAGTCTCCGACAACGGCTCTTCCCACAGAGCCCCATCACCCATCACCCATCGAATGAAATGAGACGGAGGAATACTTAAAAAAGCCTTCTGTATTTCCCTTGATTGATCACCGCACTCGTAAATCCCTTCCCGGCTGATCCGGATTGGCCATAGGTATTGCCACCGCATAATAACCACCGGATAAAATCTCACCCACAATCCCCACGCTCGTGGGGAGCATCCATGTGTGGGGTCAAGACTTGACGACGTATAATACTTGGAGTGCAGCCACCCCGCCACTTTCCCTAACATTCAATATCCGCGATCGCATTACGGAAACACTCTACATCATGGTCACAGACGAGAAGCCAACCGGCGAATATCGCCAGTATCTGCCCGACCTGGATATCCCACGATTCCAGGTGATGTGCACCCAGGATGCGCATGAATACGCACACGCGTTCAAGACGGGCAGGCAGCCCCCATGGCTACATGCGCTTTACACATATTGGCTGGAACTACTACAAGAGCCCTTCAAGGGTGTCACCACAGATGGTATGACTTGCGCCGAAGCTACAATTAAGAGGAAAGTTGCTAACTTCGACCGTTTAGGCAAGGTTCGCCCCGATCTCTTCACATTGCAAGATGAAGATGTTCCAATTCAGCAGATTGTAGACGCCACACAATCTATGCTCGGCCTACTGGACGACAGGCAGAAAAAAGCCGTAAACTACCACATCGATGACCCACAATGGCGCACCTGGTCAAACCCGGAGTTCCTCCTCTCGCACAAGGGCGTGCGTCTGGACGAAGTCACCACGCCAGTGCGTGATGCCGTGATGAACGTGCTGAAGACTACACTCTCACCGGAAGGCTATGAAAAGGCTGTCAGCGCTATGCGCATCAACCACTTCCTCGGTGAACTGGTCAAGTCACCACGCGTCATGAACGAATTCTCCTACAACTTTGTTCTCTTCGGTCAACCTTCCACAACCCGACCCTGGGGCTGGTCCTTCTATGGTCATCACCTGTGCCTGAACATCTTCCTGTATAAGGGCCAGATCATCGCGTCCCCTTGGTTCACCGGTGCCGAGCCAAACGAAATCGACGTCGGTCCATATGCCGGCACCCGCATCATGCAAACGGAAGAGAAACTCGGTCTCCAGCTGATGCAGTCTCTCTCCGCCGAGCTGCAGTCCAAGGCCCGCGTCTTCGATCTCATGAAAGATCCCGCCATGCCACCTGGCCGTTGGAACAAGGATGACCAGCGTCACTTGTGCGGCGCATACCGCGACAACCGCGAGGTCCCATACGAGGGAATTTTAGCCTCGACATTCAACGACGAGCAAAAGAGCCTGATGTACGGTATCCTCGAGCAATACTTGCTCTATCTCCCGGCCAAATCGCGCGCCTTGAAGATCGAGCAAATTCGCCGCTGGGAGGCGGAGACTTACTTCTGTTGGATTGGTGGATATGGCGACGAAGATCCATTCTACTACCGTATCCAAAGCCCCGTTATCCTGGTCGAGTTTGACCACCACTCTGGCGTCTTCTTGAATAACGAGGAGCCGAAGAAGTTTCACATTCACACCTTGCTGCGGACGCCAAATGCGGGTGACTATGGACAGGCGCTGCGCGCACAGGTCCCGGCTATCGAAGGCTTGAATGGAAAGGAGATTGTTTGGTAGGTGACCTCAGGCAAAGGAAAATTTACCATGTATAACGTGCTGTGATGAATCTTGATGAAGCGTTTTCCTTGTGATGAATGCGCGGTGTGGTTGATTCTGTGTTTAATTCTATTTTGCTTCTCTTTTCTATATAGACCGTGCTGCCCTTGGTTTGATACCGGTCTGATTTGTTACTTCTGAAGGTCTGCACCCCGATCTACGAAGATTTGATTGAATCTCAATTATCAAAATGATGAACATTCATGTACTATGCTCTTCAAATGTGTTGTAAGGCTCCCCGATTAAACACCGTGACTTGAATCAGATACAACTCCGATGAGCACAACCTTTGGAGCTCAGCCACTAGATTGAATTTCATTCGAAATCCGAGAGTATGGATGTAGAAGGTATATGCAATCCTCGTCCTTATAATTAAAATAGATATCAAAATACTAAACGATAAACTTGTTCAATACACCACCAAGGAAGACCATGTAATGAAGTAGGAAAGGCGGGTAGGGTCGAATGGAACAACGGGGGTATAACATAAATGGACAGTCATTTCAGGTTACAGTGAGTCACCAAGTAAATCCTTAATCAAGTGACCCTCAAGTCATCATGATCTGGGATCAACTCATAACCGCCCTCGGAGGGTAAGATGTGTGCCGCGGCGATAATCGCGCCAGCACAGAAAATACCGGCGCACCAACTGACAGTACAAAAGACCCAAGACTGGTCAAGCCGCCATCCAACAAAGAACCGATCCTCGTTATCGAATAGATATGCCTACCGAGCCAAATCTATCAGTACCCCAACGGAACCTGTAGCTTTATGCGGGGAATACATACCACTATTGACATGCTGGCCGCTTGGATCAAGGCAGATATCACGATCAAAATGCTGAGGATTCTCCAACCATTCTCACGCAGCCGTTTCCCACCACCAAGGATAATCAAGTAGGTGACGATACTCATTCCCTCAAGGACAACAGCGAAGGACATGAGGAACCCCACGGAGCGCCACATGGAACAGAAATATCGGTCGTCGCCATGACAGTCTTCTCGTTGTGGAAAGCTCTCGCAGGTATCGGTGAGGGAGGAGCAGCGGCGGTGGAGGCCGTAAGAATAGTGGTGGGCGGGCTGGACCAGGCAGGCATGTTAAATCGGCTTCAATGGTTGATCCGCACGTCTGAGAACGACCCAACTCACCTTTTCGCTATGATAGCTGATCCATTTAGGAATGATGATCGAGGAGATGGTGAGCGCAAAAGCTGTGCGTGCAGTACTTGTCAGAGGCTCCGCCGTTCATCCTTGGCGCCGCTTGCGCTTGGAGAGGGATGGGATGGGATGGGATAAGCTATTGGCTTTGGAACTTACAGGCTATGAAAATAACCAGAGTTCCTGAGTAAACGATAGTTTTAGTCAGAAATCCCGTGTAATTCCGATCGGTGCCTCGAGGCACAAGGTGAAAATCCATGGAGGTGAGTCAAGAGGAGGAAGTGCGATTGCGTAGGTGGGTTTCAAAAGGTGAGGGTGAACTGGACGAGAGTTGGCCCGTGCCACGAGCTCATCGAACGTGTGTGGTTGAGTCCAAGGAAAAGACAACTTGAAGAGACCAGATATGTTTGAACTCTGTATAGATTTGTCCTCTCCAAAGCTTGGAAGCCTAGAGTGGAGAGGAATGAAGTGGAGGGGAAGTATGAAAGAGTTGCAGGGTTGAGATTCCCCCGTCCAAGTGGAGAGGGTGCGACTGTGACCCACCGTCACTCCCGTCAACCTCGTCCCACTTTCACACTCTGTCATCCACCCAAATCAAGGCAGCGGTCTATGCACCTGCAGTCGATCTCTTCTCTTTTCAGGGGAGCCAGGGCATTCTGGGGAGTCAGCAGGACTAGCGGGAATGCAGCGCACTTCGGGATTGACTTTGAAGTCATAGAGGATACCAGGGAAATAGGATGGATGTATAACCCCAGAGACAGCCCTTCAAGTCTAAATGTAGAAGATAACTACTGACTAGCTATGGGTAGTGGGGGAAACTAATTTCGAAGTCATCCTCCCTTTGTAGTATTTAGATTTGAATGATTTCTTAATGTGCGACGTGTTTGCGCCTGATCGTAGAATCAGCTTGTGGCACCTTAGGGTGGTACATCAATTCTACTACCTCTTCGTCACCCTCTTGGGATATTCGCTACTTGCTTGCAAGGTCAACTACTAGTTACTTGAAGTGGTATATCAGAGTTCGTAGCAACGAGAACCCCCAAAACAATAAAGGGTCTCTTAGAAAAGCCGTTATCATTAGAACTGAATCCAGCAAACGTAGACTTAATATACATGAGGGGGACATGTGTCCGACACAAGAAAAAGAGAAAGGGGGACAATTCAAAAAAAAAAAAACAAGTAGGAAAATATGCCACATGATTCAACATAAATGCCTACTCAAGTAACCAATGTAGTAGCATTGAGGCACTACCTCAGAACAATAGAGACAAAGGACAAACGCCAATCAGATCAGACCCATGCCAGAACCTTGCGCCGGAGAAATTCATTGCACTTCAATCGATTCATTCCTCGCGCTTCTGCTTCTGTTGTAGCATCGCACGGAAATCGTCATTGCTCTTTTTAGGCATTCCACTCGCGCCGCTCTTGTCGTCGGGGGTGGTATCCATTTGGTCATTATTAGGTGGTGGCGCCGGTGGTGCGGCCATGGCCCGCTTCAAGCCCAATCCTCCGCGACGACCCGCATGTCCCCCACGAGCACCAGGTTGTTGGGGGCGCTTTATAGGGCCAGCACTTTGGAGGCTGGCCTTCGGCTTCTCCGGTTTGATAGACGTGATTCGATCGGTTTTTTTCTCGGCTTTCAGTGCCATCAACTCTGGCACACCACCGATGTGCAGTGCCCGACCCGAGGCAATCTCCTTTCCTTCAAGCGCCAAAGCTGCCTTGCCGGCGTCTTGCACGTTGGCATATTCGACGATGGCACCTTGATGGTCCGGCCTCAGGGAGATCTTGATTAACTGTCCGAAAGGTTCTACCATCGCCCGAACCCGCGCTTCATTCACTGTATCGGGAACGTTCATCAAAGCAAGCGTGCGTTGGCGATGGTCACTAACAGTATGGCTATGCACAGCATTCGATCCATTACCATTGACTTCCACGGATGGCGACCTATCGACGCGAGAAATAATGGTATTGGTCATGTGCTTGGGCTTGGTGTGAGGGACGCTCTTCGTCACCACGAGGGAGCGAGAACCAAGCGGTTGATTGTCCATCGAGAGAGCAGCTTCGGCTTCCTCCTTGGTGGAATACTGGATGAAGCAAAAACCCCTATGTTTGCCATCGGCAGAGTCCCGTGGCATAACCATATTCTCAATCGTTCCAAATCTCAAAAAGAGTTCTTCGACGTCGTTCTCGCTCTTTTTGAAATGGATATTCTTGCAAAAGATCTCCCGGCCTTCTTCCTTGGCGCCAGTCCGAGATTTCCTTTGCGTAGGGTCCGAGATTTTCGCACTAAGCTTGTGGCCGTCATGGACAGTATTGTCAAGCTCCGTGGCTTCGAGGGCGGCTGCGGGCGAAGAAAATTGAACATAGCAAAATCGTCGATTGACGTCAAACTTGAGCGAAGGGAAACGCACATCGACAATCTCACCATATTTGCCTAGTATTTGACGAATGAAATTCTCATCGGCGGTAGGGGGAAATTGGTAACGTAGAGGGTCGAACTTGACTCAAGCTGCACTTGGATGATGTTGTCATTGAGAAGCTTCTGATCACGAGCTAGGGCTCCCAGAGCGTCTTCTCTAGCCTCAAACTCGACGTGCGCAGTTGAGTTCTCCTCTTCGCCAGTGAGAATCTTGACGTTGTTGATTGTGCCATAATTCCTGAAGAACTGTCGAACCTGGAGCTCTGTCACTCCCTGCGGTAGGTTTTTGGCCACAACTGTTGCATTCTCACGATCACGGCTAGGGGCCAGAGCGGCGGTAGTCTCCTCTGGGATCTGTTCCTCGCCACGCGCTTTCTTATTCGTCGGTTCGCTGTTGGCATCAATCTCATCTTCCTCACGCTTTCTCTTTTCAGACGATGAGGCCTCTGCTTCAGCAGCAGCTTCCCATTGTTGTTGCTGCAATTTTTGAGCTTCCGCGGCTTCTCGGGCCTCATTTTCTCTGCGAGCGTTGACAGCCCTCACGGCTTTTCGAGTCTCAATAACAGCAAGCTGAAGCTCGTCAGAGTCTTCATAATCCTCGCAGTGAGCAATATAAGTTTGCACAATCTTCTCCGGCCAGTCGAGGTCGGTCCGCTTAAGGGCCTGTTTGAGTACAGCAGTCGCATAGCTTGGGCTGGGGGTTCGTCTCGCTGCATCGACAGTCGCTTCCCCTAGCACAAATTTCCTCCAGCAAATGAGTTCCCAGCCATAGTAGACAAGCCAAAACTCATAGCTACTGCCGCGGCGCGGGACAAGATCTTTGAACTTCTCTCTTGCGCTATCCCAGCTGCCGCTTTCGCTGAGATACCGAATATAGATGCGTTCCAAACGGAAGAGCGGATCGCCTTGGTATGATTGACCATACTTCTTCTCGCCTAGCTCTTGCACACTCTCCATTGCGGATAAGATACCGACTTGCGCAACGTCTAAATCTTCATCGGTCGAGTCAGAGAAGAAGGCACGTCGACGAAGATAGCTGCACCAAGTAGTGTGTACCTTCAAAACTTCTTCCATACCTCCAGCATCGAGTAGACCTGTGCTGGTAGCCTTGTGCTTGATATTGGAAATTTTGGAGAATGATTGGCCTTCTCGCTCTGAACTCAGAAGATACTGAGACCAAAGGTTACCGGACCAGGGGCAATGACGTGTTGCACGGTCCAAGGTTGCGATTGTAGTGGTAGAAGCATGGCCATGCATAGCTTGATCAATAAGAAACATGACATAGTCTTCCCAAAGGGAAACATCCGTAGGGAAGCGCAAGACTGCTCGTTGGTAGACAGCGTTGACAAGCTCGAAGTGGAATACGTGGAAACCATTCCGTCGTCCAGCCACTGGACGCTTTCGGGCGAGTTCAGTATCAATGTACTCCGAGTATGCTGTCCATTCGAGGGTTTTATCGCCAGACTTCTGAGCCTTTTTCAGTTCAGACTCGGATTTCTCTCGTGTGTCATAGAGACCCTTGGCTTCCGAGGCAGCGGCGACTGTCTTGGCCATAATTTCCTCGTAGTTGGCGGGGCCATAATGCTTAGAAATGAAGCCTGAAAATTTCTGGAACGACTCGTCCCACTCGGCATGAGGGGTTTGCAGCCAGGTGTCCCAGAGAGTTTTTAGATTGTTGATTTTCCCAATTCGTTCCTGAGAATTAGGAGAAGCCCGGTCAATGTCGTTGTCGAGAACCTCCAGGAACCTATCCCAGACACCTTCAACATCGTTGATCATCCATCTTGTAGCTTCCGCGGCACGTTGCCATACGTCCAAGACCAATTGCCAGCTGAACACTTCGCGGCCAATCATTCGGTCTTCTTCAGTCCATTGGCCAGGCCCATGCTCGTGTGCCTCTTTGTATAGATGAAGCACCCAGTCACCATAGATTTTCCAGAGTTCGGTGCTCCCAAACTCCTCTTCAACCGATCGTTGGCATAGCTCCATAACAGCAATGCGCTCAGTTACTGTGTGGGCCAGCAGAGTTTCGTCTGCGATCCATTCAGCCCAAAGATCTTGACCCATGGCGAAAAGCTTGTCCATCTCCTCGCGAGCTATCCTCAGATCCTTCAGTAGGTCGTAGCGACGGGGGTCGCCATGAGCACCTGGGCGATTGGGAGGAAAAACATGGTTCACGAAGCCCGTGTGCAGGATACCGATGAATTTGACATGCGCGTCATAAGTGTGTGGGTTTTCCTGTATCATATTGAATGCTTCTGTCGCCAGGCGCTGCGCGTCCGGGTCTAAGGATGTTTGCCCATAGCCCCTGCGCGCATTTTCTCGAGGACCTTCCGACATGGCGATATCGAACGATGTGCGCGGGGTAGGGGTGTTGTGATTGATCGGGTTCACGTGTGGATGGATGGTTGACGGAGACAGCTGACTCTCGTACGACTCGGTGCTGCGGAGCATGCTTGGGGCGTTTTGCCGTTGCGGCTGATGATGCTGCAATGCAGCTAAGTCGGCCAGTGTATCCATCCCAGGTGTCGATGCTTGTCTTAACTGCGGCGGCAACTCGGTCGTAGAGGGTGCGCCATTTCCGGTAACTTTGGGGCTGGGCGCGGCCGGGGATGATTCCGGAATTCCAGTCGGGACATAGACGTGCTGCGCCAAAGGTGAGGAGGTTTTGCCTTTGCGAGCGGGACCCGACCGAGCTCTCTGAATGACCTTATGGGGAGATGGCCCTGCAGCAGGGGTCGGTGCGTTGTTCGACGTAGGACCGGGCACGGGAGTCGAATTTCCAGACTTTGGATTGGAGTCCGGAGAAAGCAATGAATTGATGTCCATCTTGCAAAATCAAAGTCCGCGACTGGCGCTGGACAAGAAAGAAAGAGAAGAGCGACAGAAGGCAAGAAAATGACAAATACCAGATGTCACGGATAGTGCTGGAACAGCAGAGATCCAGTTTAGACGGCGGGCACGATATTTCTCAACGTGACGTCCATTCCTCCATCGGTCAACACAAGCTTGTGATCTGATCCCGCCTCGTCGTACTGGTTTCCGCGGGTTCGCTGACAGGGTTCGCGCGATACCGATCGGGATGAATAGATTCAGTTTCCGGTTGTAAGATGTCGAGGCTGGTGAGGATGAGTGAGTTGAAATGGCAAAAAGGAACGTGAATGAGAGGGAGTGGGAGGAGGTCGAAGCTCCGATTCAGATACGGGATTCGACAGAAACGAAATATCGGCTGGGCGAGAAGAAAGGGATAGAAGCCACAGGCTAGAGTGGCCTGGGAATCTAGGTGGGGGGAGAAGGATGGAGGAGGAAGGGAAAAGGTGCCGGTGAAGGACAGGAGGAGAGGAAGAGACAGCACTGAAGGCCCTGAAAGAGGAAGACTAGTGGATCTTCGCAGTGGAGATGACGGTGAAGGAAGAGCGTGACGAGGGGGGGGGAAGAAAAGATGGAATCAAGTGGTAAGCAGTAGCGGTCTAAGTTACTTACATTGAAGGGAATCTACATATCATTTATCTTCGAGTGTCTGTCTATCTCTAAAGCCAAGTTATATACGTTCGTGGGGGGGGAAGAAGGAGTCAAGCACCTGCAGTTGTTCACGATCGATCACGTCGCGCCCTGCAGGGCCCGCCTGATAGCCTGAGGCGGTAAGGCATCAACTACAGCCTCAGGCAACTACAGCTGGCGCCAAATCCACTCGCGCAACTCAAGTTCGACCTTTTTTCCGCATCGTCCTCCACTCCAGCCAGATCAACACTCCACTTTATGGCCACAATGGGTGCTGTGTATCCTTCTGGACAATTAGTCCGGGCAGGTGAGTACTGTCATAATTGACAGCTATTGCTATTGAAATTGATCTATTCTATTCCATACTAACCCATTCAATCAAGCTGCCCGGAACCGTGTCTCGTACATCCCCCGACGGACATTGACCTCGACAACTGTTTGCCGCGCCAACAATGACGCTGGTAATACCACTCTCCCTTCCGGCGAGAAAAAGAAGAAGACATCCCTGCTCTCCTCCATGAAGAATTGGGTTCTTGGCGACAAACCCAAAGCCGCCCGTACTCCGTCCGCTCCCAAGCGGGAGGAAGCTGGTTTGGGCGCGAACTCGATTTTCGCCGACGACGTTAAAGCAACATCGGGTCCCACACCCAGCCGAAAGAAGGAACAAATTCAACAGCGCGACTCCGAGCAGGCCGACCTCCCTCTGGAGCAGCGGGACAAGAAACGCCTCCAAGTTGCCCTGAACCCAAACCCCCGGGCTCAACTTCGGTGGGAAAAGAAGATTGTTAACCGGGAAATCAAAAAGGGCGGTCGAATCTCTAGACAGGTCCAGATTGCGCGTACAGAGCGTGAATCTCTCTCGAAATCACACTGGTTCAAGACCTCGGTCAAGAAGCTGGGTCCCCTGGCCCGCCAGATCTCCGGCAAGAGCCTCGATGAGGCCATCCTGCAGATGCGCTTCAGCAAGAAGAAGGCCGCCCAGGATGTCCTTGGTCATCTGGAGCACGCGAAGAACGTCGCCATGGTCCGTGCCGGCATGGGCCTGTCGGCCACTGAGGAGTCCGACAAAAAGCCCATCACCGTCACTCTCAAGTCCGGCGAGCGCAAGGAGATCACCGACCCCACGAATATCTATATCCAACAAGCCTGGGTCAACCGTGGCCCTTACGGATTCGGTATGGATCACCGTGCCCGTGGTCAAATCAACCACCTCCGTCCTCCGGCCACTGGTATGACTGTTGTGCTGAAGGAAGAGAAGACCCTTATCCGCGAGTGGCAGGAGCGTGAAGCCGATGCATTGCGCAAGCGGAAAACCCAGCTCTGGACCCAACTTCCCGATCGGAAGATTTCTGCTCAGAACCAATGGTACAGCTGGTAATTGGCTGAGCATCGATTCCCCATTGGCGTTTTCCGTTCCGTTCCGTTGTATTATTTACATCCGTGTGTCCATCCTAGCTGGAACCGGTTTTTGTTGTTTCTGTTGCCTATTCGCTAGGGTGTGAAGAGGATTTTTGCATTTCCAGTAGAGAAAGCCGGGCTTATCAACCCATGTACAATATGATCAATACCATTCTATGGAAATCTTCATCAGACCCATACTATTCACTATATGTCCCGCCGTACCCCAGTACTATATACCACATGCCGTCACATCAACATGTAGTACTTAAGAACGGTTTCCCTCCACCTTCACAATGACCGGAATTACACCCCCGGTCTGCAAAGGAAACCTCCGGTGGCCAACAACTTCCAGAATACTCGTAATGGCACCGGAGTGTGCCGTCAGCGAGAGAAACACATTATCATCGCTAGCAAAGATATCATTCAACAATTGCAAGAGACGCTTGTTGCGCTCTTCATTGGACTCACGCGTCTTCGCATCCCAGAGCAGATCTTCTTCTGTGAAATCCGCTTCGAATTGATACTGCGGAAACTCGGTTGCAATCGTAGAAGCCGGAGAGCGACGGTCACAAGTGTGCTCGCCCATAGTCTCGCGAAGGAGCTATATTGTAATCAGATTCGCCTTCACTTATAGCTCATTGATAATTGATATATGCAACCTACTTCTTTGATGATCGGTCGAAAAGGCTTGGTGAGCGGCATATCCAATCCGTCAAATGTAACCTGGGCAGTTGCGCAGCATCGAATCAACGGGCTCACGTAATATGATTCTGGGGTCGGGATGTTATGTTTGAGTTGTTCTTCCCAGGTCGTGCGAGCGGTTTTAGCTTGGGAGATGCCTACGTTTGTCAAGCGGGCATCAGCCCAAGAACCATATTCGTCGCCGTCGAGCAGAGACCAGTACTCCTGTGGATTTAATGAGCCATGTATACTATTAATTTTCACGTGGAATACGTACGTCCCATGCTTTCGTGCCATATCGCTTCTCGGCAACATTGTGGACGCCCTCGCCGTGTCGGCCCAAGAAGAGCACTTTATATTGGGTATTTGGCTCTGCTTGGCTATTCAGGCGCTGAATCTCTCTGCTAAATTTTTGCCATTGGCTATCTCCCTTGGATTCCTCGGTCTCTGAACCATACGCGCGGCAAATGAGACCAAAGTTCGATTTTGCCTGGGACGAGAATGAGATGGATTTGACCGCTGACCTCTCCCCGTACTTGTACTTACATAGTCGAATGTATCCGGGTCAGTGGATGGGTCATCCTGAAGAAAATACCCAGCTACTGTAGATAATTTGAAAGATGTGAATTTTCGCATGGTGGTTTAGTAGCTCAGTTTCGAGGAGCTGGTTGGTATGCCCCTATACAGAGAGGATTATCTACCAGGTGGGGCTTTACGGTCAGGCTCACCCTAAGGCTCAGTGACTAATCAAAGCAACTTTACTAACTAACTAGTGATCGCTCAAGATCACTCATTAGTTACTATATGTGTTTATTCTTATATGCTTGTCTTCGATTGATTCAACACTAAAGTTTCTTAAATTACTGGCACTTCCACTCATTGTAGAAAAATCAGAGTTGATTGAGCTTCGGGTTTGTTTTTTAGGACGATTGGTTTCGACTTCGGCTACTTAGTAATTTACTGCACATGTTTGTCAAGAGTCAACTATACAAATTTTGCTTAAATTGAAAAGAATGCTTTCAACCACCCGAGCTATGTAGTTTCAGTCGTATTGCCTAAGCATTATTAAAGTTCCCTTGAGCGTCGGGGTTTCCCAGTAAACTTGAAGGCTCATTATGAGGTAAGCTACGCAAGACCACTCATAGACGGTCATTTGGCTTGTTGATTTCGTCTTTGTAGAAAGCTCAAACCCTATGGACTCATTCGCTATCTTTCTGTTCGTAATGGCTATTTCTATGATGCCAGCACAACAAACCAACCACAATAGCCAAGGCGATGACGCAGAGGATAATAGTTCTAGTTTCCTTATCAACCTGCCTCTTTCCATAAAAATGCACACATACTATGGCGAGCCACAATTCTTCGACATACTCAACTCCGAAGCCACTATTCTTAAATCCTCACGCACTGAAAGTGAGTTCCTTCTTTTTAACGCGAGTGAAAAGACTATCAATACTATCATGAACCCCTATTGCCCCCGTTACATTGCAAGGCTCTGTTCATCATTCGATACCCAAGAGCAGCTTATACTCGTCTCATAATGCAGCTTGCATTGAGATGCATTGTATGATCAAGGAAGCCCTGATACCGATGGGTTTGTTCAACTCTCTCCAAGAATATCCTTGCGCAATTATTAGATCAAGCCCCGTAGCTACGCGGGGAAAGCAGTCTGAAAATTCCTGGGGGCCAAAGAGCAAACCTCCCGATCTGCCAACCTCGCCATCTGTCACCCTCGAAGTCGGGTACTCAGAGTCGGATTCCAAACTCACTTCCGATGCACGATTCTGGCTGAGCCCTGGTCATGGCTGTGCCAATATATGCCTCACGGTTCTAATCAATCGATCGCGGCCAGAGATCGGAATTAAACGGTGGAGTAGAGCCAGCAAAAACAGAATCAAGTGCTCTCAAAATATTTGGATCACCAAAAAGGGACATTTGGTGAATTTCAGTGAGCATCCATTGACGATTCCATTCGAAAGTCTATTTCGTCGCCAGTCAAGTTCCCCATGGGAGGGAAACTCAGATATTCCCAAATCTCGGTTGGAGAAGATGGCTAGAACCATTTGGCAAAAGCAGGGCTGATAACTTCAGTGTTGATTTCTTTATGTATTTCTGCCTTAGTGCTGTTTTCCTAAACTATTTCGGTGCTCTCAAATCTTCAAGTTCTCTGGTACCTAGCAACCTGGTCGAGTACTCCAATGTCGAGTTTTCTCTACAGCACTACGCTGGGTATTAATACACTCTATTTTAAATATACGTAAGAGGTTCCTTGGAGGCCGGTTCTACTAGAATATCAATATTGTATGGAAACTTGGAACTTGAAGTCTTCGGGTACAGGCGGCCGCTGGGACGGTCAATCTCAATTGCGGACCCAATGAGCCAGTTGCCGCTAAGGAGTGCCGCAAATAACTTGAAATCATAACTAGGTACCTCTTAAAAGATAACCACGATTAACGATTATTTCTACTATGTGTCCAAGGGTGGAATTCATATTCACAACTTGATGGGATCATGATTGCTTTTGTTTATTGCAACTTGTCTCTATGACATGGTTTCTATCGCGATCATCGTCAAATACTCCTGTTGCCTTCAATTACCCATTTACCAACCATCAAGCTCCAAACTCTATTCCAATCCAGACACAATAAGTCCACCGAGGCCCTGCTGTGAGACTAGCTGTCCGCATCCGTGACAAGGGAGCCACATGATTATCGTGCTCCAACCTAAAGGGTTGTAAGCGCAGGCGCGGCAAATTGCTTGGCCTAAAGCTGATACAGCTGAAGGCCTTTCTTTGCAGACATCATATGGGCACCACAGAACGACAAACAATTGAACATCAATTGTTCAGACCGAGAGGCAAATTTTGGCGATACCGCCGAAAACAATGCTCCTGAGATCGTCGAGACAACGCTTGAAAATAACCCGCCAATTTGGCTGGTAATCGAGCGAATGGTTTGCCCGGTGGAGATAGCTTGATGAGCGATTCCATGAGTAGGCGATGGTGAGGGTGACGAGTGTTGGGCCAGGCTTTGTTTTGGTCCATGATTTGGTACTGTAGATATGCTCTCCAGTTGCTGATTGACCCCCTGGGGAGTTGGCTTGGAGCTGGATCTTGAGATGGCCAGAGTATTGGATTTGCAGAGGCCAAGAGCGTACTGCTTTTGGTTGGAGCGGATGCAGATGCCGTCTGGCTCCGAGGTCTCCAGACGACGCGAAGGCATTCCCGTATTGGCGCGCCGAACTTGAAGGATTGCTTTGAGTGAGTTGCCTGTAACCGAGCTGGTCGTCGAGCTGATCGTCGTTGGCGAAGCATTTCTGTTGTTTCTGTCCTTCGAAAGCACAGTCGCAGGGCCAGCAGTGCGCCAACGCACTGCCGACTCGCGACTTGCCTTGACAGATTGCAGAGCACTTGGCGGTCGGCACGAACTCGCGTGATTTAGTGCTCTGTTGCATTTTCCGACGTTCTGGTTCACATCTAGAACGCCAGAGGAGGAGTACTGCGGGTTCTGACCTGGTAAACTGCTGCTTCGTTTGCCAATTGGCAACAAAACAGAAGTAATGGTCTGTCGGTCGTGACCCGAAATATCGCTTGGCTTCGTTGCCTTGACAGTCGGCGACACAATAAAGGCGTTGTTTGGCCGGTCGTGGCCCGGAACATTGCTTTGTCTCGTGGCCCGAACAGCTGGCAGTAGGCCAGACATGTTTCGATCTTGGCCTGGAACATCCGATGCGCTCTGCTTCGATGTCTTGGCAGTCGACAGAGTGAAAGAAGTGCTGCGTAGTCGATCGGGACCCGCAACATCGCTTTGCTTCGTAGCCTTGATGGCCGGCAAAACACTTGACGAGTTTCGATCGTGGCCCGGGACATCGCTTCGCTTTGTTGTTCTGACTGTAGGGAGAACAGCGCATAGGCCCCGTGACGGATCGTGTTCCGGGGAACTGCTGATGGATCGCTTGATCATCTTGGCTGAGAGGCGTGGAACCAGTGAAGGATCGTGTCCTGGAACACCAGACTGTCGCGTATCTGGGAGAGCTGGAGCATGAAGCATCGGTTGGCGTGGCCGCTCCTTGACATTGGCAGTCAGTGGAACATCGCTGACACCAGCACGAGCGGCGGCCTTTTCCAGGCAATTACACTAGTGAATAATTAGCATTCATAACTCTAAAATCTTGTGGGTCTAGGAGGATTGAGGCTTACCCTCTTATGCTGCTTCTTGTGCTTCTCACAGGCACCATACTTGCGAGCCTTGATGTAGTTCTCTTTCTGCGCCTGGGAGCGAGGCTTCTGCTTCTTTGGCAGATTGGTAGTCGCATTCATGTTCAGGTCGAGAACCATTTCGAAACCTCCGGTGCCAGAGCTAGAGGCTGGGGCGGATGCAGGCGTGTTCGCAGGGCTTTCAAAGCTCGCAGGCTGGGGAGAAATGCTCCCTCGCATGCAATCCGACCAGCTTGGGGAGGAGAAGCTGGTATTTGAATCGGAAGACATGTCCAGATCGCGGGCAGTGGCATCGCACAATCGCTGGAGGTGCAGTGCAATGGCGGCTTCGCGACGCTTCTCTTTGATAGAAGCAGTGCGAGGGTCGGCGGCGGCCTGCGTCTCGACCATCTGGCGGAAGGAGAACCCATTGTCGTAGGACTGGTAAGCATTGAACATCTCATCGTCGAAGATCGGAGTATCCGGCATCATTCCGAAGACAGGAGACTGGTCAGCAAGGAACTGATCTTCGGGGGTTCCATAGTTGATCATGTCAGGGAAGGCGGATTGGGAGAAATCCGGCAGGTCATTTCCGAGCGTTTCAGCATCGTAAGGAAGACTCATGTCGGGCGAAACGGTGGCGGAGGCGGAATAGTCGTCGCCATAGGCCACCGGGAGGTCAAGAAATTGATCAAAATCCACCCAATCATCAGACTGGGTCTGGATATCCGTGAAGAATAGCTGATCTCCGAGAGACGCCATTATGTCGGGATTGGAGGAGTGGGTATCGTAAGCGTAGTGGAGGGGGTTGAAGATTGAGGGGTAGGTGTACAGGAATGTACACTGTAACCGTGAATTAATGAAAGACTAGGCGGCCCCGGGGCTCAAGGCCGTGAATCCTAATTGTCAAGTCGAAAGCCGAAGGGACTCCGAAAGGAAAAGAAAGGAATTTGGAACCTCAGGCGGTGCTGGACATTGTATAGGCGCCTGGGACCGGATGGGCGCTTTCCCTCTTCGGGGTCCCCGACTTCCACTAGTCCCAATTGGGAGCCCGACGCGGCCCTGTGCGCTCCTCGTGTTTTCCCTTTGACTCATCGCTGGGGCTTAGACTCTACTTTTGCACTCTCTGGTTGGTCTACCGCGGTCTCAGGGTGGCTCATCCCCAGTCATTGGATTGCAATTATGCTACCTGGTTTTGCTTATGACGATCACTCTATTTAATTTCTTTTATTTCATTCCAATTGTTCGACAATTAGCAAGTCGATCTGCCCCACTCCGTTTGCCTAGGGTCCAGTATGATGCTCCGCCGTATCTAGACGGGATTAAGTTCTACTCCATCTTTCAAGGCTCTTCTGACGCCATTATCAGCCCTAGCCTTGCATGTGTGTAGCTGTGTGGAGTACTCCGTAGTACATAGTCGGGGTACCACTTTGATTGAGATCCCCGGAGGACTCGGTGCTATATAAGGTAGTAGAGTAAATACCTTCAAGTTGCCTCATCCACGGGTGAAGCACTAGAGATATGCTACTAGTATCCCCGCAGTATCAGTATGCCGCGGCCGTAGTAACCTCCAGCCTTGGAAGGCTTATTATTTTGTTGCCTTCTTCGGCAATCAATCCCATCATTCGCGCAGCTTTACTCTCGGGCTCCAATCTTTATGAGTACATATATATTGACACGATACGGAATCCTTAACACTCACTGCAGGGGTTCTACAGAATACTCACAAAAGTGAATCGGTAAGTCTGTGACCTTGTAAGTCATCCCTCCAACTTGAAGTTGAAGTATTCCAGGGACTGGAAGGTAGGACTCACTGGGCAATGCGCTGACATCTAGTCTAGTCTCCAGGGTTTCAGGACACTTTCAAGGTTGTTGGCCATGATCTTGCTACGATTCCGCCTGCCCTTCATCCTCAGTGGGGGATTGAGGCTCTTGGCACTTGATCTACTTCAAGTTAGATCGGGTCTATCAGAGACCTAGACCACCCACTCGCAGGTGCCAGTGCTAGCAGTGGGCAGAATGTCCGGTCAAGTTTGTCTAACAGGCCCCAAACCAGTAGTACTAGTACTAACTAGTAGTACCTAGGTAGCTAGTATTACCTGTCCAGGTGTAGTAGCGGTAAATCTGAATGTTCGAGTCGGATTACATGCAACTTGAAGATATATTGTGTTCTCCACCTGGGCAGGGATAGTAGTAGTATCACGGAGACGGGCCCCACTGCCACGACTGGTGCCAGTGTGTGTCAATGGACCAGAGGCTCAAGGACGGAAATCTCCTTAGAAAGCTTGGTACTCGCATACTAGTCATTCTTAAGCTCGGACTAGTCTAGTATGCAGCCAAATTGAACTTTGCCTTGTGGGGAATGACTGAAGGAGGATAAGCGCCAAGAAGCTGGGTACTACGAGTATACACTGGGAGACGAAGAACCCGACGACTTCTCAAAACGTGAAGCTGACTCGGAAGCTACTCGTTCTGGGATAAGTATTAAGAGTATCGCTTTTTTTAGATTACCTACCTAGGTAGATAGTTTGTTTCTGGGGCCCGGGGTATTTGTACAAAAGGACTCTAGCCAGCGACGCTGCGAGGTTCCTTCCATTGGAATGACTCGGGTCAAGGGCGCACACTAACTCAGAGCAAAAACCATTCAACTGCGATCAAGGCCGCAGCTCTCCTTGCCGGTATTACTATCCCTCCAGTATCAATTGGGAACTGGGCATGGACTAGGGGATCGCCAGGGCCAAGAATAGCATCGACACCTAGTCTATCAGGCGCCAATCGGAGATCCCCCGGACGCGTCGGGGTAAACAAACGGACCCGCCGGGTTAGGAGCTTGGGCCACCGGAGCCATGCGACTGAGCAAATTCCATCTTGAGGCATTCTAGAAGCCATATCGCGAGGATATCTAAAGCGTACGAAGCTAGAGACAGCTGACTGAAGGGTGTATATTTTTATAGGGAAATATTATTGATTTGATTAGACTAGAATACGGCAAGCCGAACTCGCATCGGGAATCCTGCAAGTTGTGGCACCGGCCATCCTGCTTTAGCTTGACAGTCAACACACATTGAAGATAATTGACAGCAATAGGATGGAGCCCGACGTCCCGGAAGACATTTCCCACTAAACAATAACCTCCCCATCCTTCCCGGGGGGGGTGTTCAAAAATAAAGCAGAAAGAAACCACCGTAGAACCGTTCCGTAAAGCCCTTAAGTGATGCAGAAACGACGAGAACAACCAGAGATCAGCGAAAAAGAGGTAAAGACACAAACGCCGTGAACCGCGCAATTGGTGATATTGCGGCTAGGCGCTTAAGAGGACTCCTCCTCGGATGCCTCGGCGAGTTGCTGTAAAGAAGTTAGCATTGATGGGGGTTGGGTTTGATTGTGTGGTCGATGGGAAACTTACAGCCTGGTACTTGGCCTTCTCTTCCTCGTAACGCTTCTTGTCGGTAGCAGCCTTGGCATCATAGGGCTTGCGCTCAGTCTCGGTGAGGGCCTTCCACTTGTCACCAAGCATCTTGCCGACCTGGCCTGTATGGGGTGTTAGAACCGGAGCTCATGCGATGGAGCAGAAACAAAACCTACCGAAGGTGATACCGGGGTTCTCCTCGCGAACCTTGTCACGGTTGTCGTTGGCGAAGAACATGTAAGCGGACAGACCACGCTTGGGGGCGTTGGGGTCTGGTGGTAGTTAGTATTGACGTAAGGATTGACGCGTCAATTGCGCCCGGATGAGCAAGAGCTTACCCTTCTTGCGGCGCTGGACGCGCTCCTTGCCGCCCTTGCGAGTGGTAGACTTCTCCTTAGGCATGTTGTCTGCAGGAATCGATTAGCACCATACGATATAGGCAAAAGTGATGTGATAAACAAGTAAAGATTTTGCCGAAGCTGCCGAGAATACGGCCATGACAGCAGAAGAGGGCAGTAGCACAAATTGAAATGATGCGACTTCGATGCGACCAGGGAAATGCAGGGGAGAGCGCGATTGCGCATATAGTGAAGATTGACTCGGCAACGAACAGGCGCGCTCGAGGAAGCAAGCGCGACGATGGGATGAAGATAGCAAAGCAGATGGGTGGAATGGAACAGGAGGAAATATTCAACTCACCGGAAGTGTGTGATAAATAGAAGAGCACGAAGGTTTTGGAAACGAGCTGTTGGTGGTAAAGAGGTTGGTTAGTGGTGGTGGTGGTAGTAGTAGGAGAGAGATGGTAGGATGATGAAGCGCGCAACAGCGATCACGGTCGCGAGGAAGAAAATAGCAAAGGAAAACAGGGTGGAAAGAAGAGATACAAGGTATGAAGAACGCGGAAAAAAAGAGTGGTGGATGGTGTTGTTGAAAAAAAAGGGTATGGACTATATAGAGACGGGATATGCAGTACCTGAGAATTGTATGGGGGGAGAGGGCTCTGGTAGTAGAAGCGTGAAGGAGAGAGAGAGAAGAGAGGAAGGGGAGGCAGTAGTACTAGGGAAAGGCCAGAGAGGGGGGCACAGGCGAAATGTGGTGGGCAGCAAGGGCGGGTGCTGACTGGCATGTATCTTAGTAATACACTGTATTATACTCCGTACACTGTGCCATACACTGTGTATGGCACTACCATGTACTCAGTTACCTTACATAGGTACTGACTTGGTTACCTTAGGATGCTTAAGGCCTCAGTTACTAAGTCATTCTATCGATCTACTTAGGTACTATGTGAATATTCCAGCCGATGATTACTATCTGAACATCCGGGAATCCTGATCCATGAATATTCTTGGTGGCCTCAGCCATTACCATACCATCACCATTATCACAACTACAGTATGTCACCACTACCATGCCACAATGCACGAATCCTTTTGCCGGATCCCTCGAACAAATACTGTGTGTGTAGACCTTAAGCGGGGCAATGCCTCTTGCACAATGGATGGAGCCTGGGGGCAGGCATAGGCAGGCATGGGCAGGCATGGGGAGACCACTATGTACCTTGTCTTCCTCATACGCCGTAGCTATACGTAGAACTGGGTGGTGCGGTCGTGCAGAGCAGACGCGCCTTCACGACTAGCTTCGAATCAGAGTGGAAGCACGGCCACCTCTAGAGCAACCTGTGTAATAAATGGTGCGCGCCCAGACTATCTTACCCCCCCTCTCTCGCCATCTCTCCACCTGCCCTGAGTATTGGGTTGGTTCTAGGTGTACTCCGTACTTGGTAAATAGCTCCACGGCCAATCCGTTATTGGGACTGCAGCCGAGTACGGAAGACAGTACCGTAGCAACAACACGCGAGCGGAAAGGTACAGTGGCGTTCCAAAGGTTTGAAACACCCTGAGCGACCGCCTTCCCCTACCGCCCACTATATTAGTACACCGCCCCCTATTCTACTACGCGACGTGCGTTGTATATAGCATATTATACACATTCCACGCGTTATATTGAGCTATTTGGGCCTTTAGAATGCCACCAATTCGTCATACTGCTCTGCAATTGGTGCAAAACCAATATGATACACCGTCACAGCATCCAAATGTAACACAACGCTCACGCCGGTGTCAATTAGCACCACATGAACGTGTTCGACTTGTTGAATTGAAAGCTATTGGATGGTCATATACTGAGATCCATGAACGCTATCCTTATATTCCAATTGGAACAATCAAAACTACAGTTGCTCGGGCGGAAAAACGAGGCCCAACTCAGGCTGCATTACCTCGTTCTGGTACACCAAAAAAGTTGGATGAAACAGATCGATTGAGGATACTTGAAGCAATATCAGAGAACCCACGAATTAAGTATGATGCTCTACTAGCTTTAGTCAACTTCAAATGCGGTCGAGCGACTATTTGGCGACTTCTCCAAGGTGAAAATAAACGGAAATGGCTTCAACTTCAACGACCTGAGTTAACCGACCAACAGGCTCGCCAGAGACTGGCTTGGGCACATCGAGTCCAAGATTATGACTCTGAAAAATGGAAAAAGATCTTCTGGTCAGATGAAACAACTATCGAAAGAGGAAAAGGAGGACGGCGAGAGTGGACTTTTACACCACGAAACCGCCAAATTGCGGAACGAGATGTTCAACAGGTCCCATGTCACAAAAGTGTTAAGCAAATGTTTTGGGCTGCCTTTTCAGGGACCGGTCGTCGATCCGGACTTATTCCACTCTTTGGAGATCCAGATTCTCCTAATGGAGGGGTGAACCGATTTGTTATCTTGGAATTATATCAGCGTGTGCTTCCAACTTTGCTAAGCGGAGTTGAAGGTGCTGTGTTTCAACAAGACAATGCTTCAGTTCATACTGCACATATTGTTCGTGATTGGATTGCTGATCAGGACTATGAGATTATGAAATGGCCTCCATATTCGCCTGATCTAAGTCCAATTGAGAATTTATGGTCGTTACTCAAGGCAAAGATATATGAATTGCACCCTGAGATTAGGGGCATGCCAAATAACGACGATACTCTACAGTTTATTATTGGGGTAGCACAGATAGCGTGGTCTATGATTGATATAGCGATACTAGAAAATTTGGCTATTACTATGCCACACCGTGTACAGCAAGTTATTGAAAATGATGGCTGGTATACTAGTTATTAGCAATTGTCAATACATGAGGTTTTTATTTTGTGCCGGTCGCGAGGTTTTAGTGCGGCAGAAAAAGCGGCAGAAAAATAGGGGGTGTTTCAAACTTTTGGAACGCCACTGTAGCTGGCTTGATTATACATACACGGGTAACTTATCGCCGGAGCGATACCACAAATAACGAGGCGTGGGCCCGACGGAGTTTGGGATGATCGCGGTATTGGGATGGGTTAGACAGGAATCCAGCTCCATTACTGGCTGATCAGCCCCCTAAGGACAATCACAAGCTGGCCGAATGGGAAAAGGACAAGGACAGGGAACGGTACGCGTCCAGTTTGTTTCCTCGGTATTCATTCCCTGGTGGATGGCCGCAGGTACCCAGAACCTGTCATTTTCTGCACGCTAATGATGCGGGCTGTTAGGGGATTCGGCAGTGCAAAGGTGCAAAAGTTCTTGAAGCACAGCTTTTGATGGGGGGGGAAGTTTCTTTTTTGGCTGGCATTCCGATACAGATACATACCACAGGGTACAGTCTGTACCATAAATACGAAAGTGTAGGGTACGGTACTATGGTCTCTGGTACTCTCTGGTACTCTTTGGTACTCTTGCGGTAATCACATACCACCCTAGCGTCATCGACTGGTTGCGTCGCAGTGCAAGTGAGAACAGCATGAATTACTGTGTAATCCTGTTGCCCTCCCACTCACCCTGGATGTGGCTCCGGCCTAATATGCATCCACGGAGTAATCTTGCCAATCGATGTTTACTGTAGTCCAAGCGGTGATTCGATTTGATCTATCCAGATATGCTATTATGTTAATTCATACCATTGACTCCGTACACTTCCGTCTTTTTTTTTCTTTCTCTTCTCTCCATTTTCCGTTTTCCCTTTCCGACCTCTCCCCCGGTACTCCGTCATTGCGGGTGTGGTGATGTATTGCGTGGGTCAAAGGTCTTACACGGCCACAATCAAGTGACCTGAATTTTATTAATATCCTGCTTGGATAATGAAATCGCCCGAAAGCTCCAGAAAAATAGAGGATTGCACAGAAAATCACATTATCTCGAAGGTAGGCGCCAGAACTCCGGGCCTATTGGGGGTATGCAACTAGATCCACTCGTAAAAATAAGCCATGTTGGTTCGCCAAAATATCAATCTTCACTCTCATCCAGGACCAAAGCCTGAAGCTGGTCGTCCTCAGCCCAATCCAGTCCGCTGCCAACGACCATCGCACTGGCAATGTGCTTCATCGTATCCCATCGGGCTTTGTTGGATTTGAAGTCGGTTTCCAATTGTTCCAGTTGCGATAAGAGTTTCGCATCTTTCAGCTTCTCCCTCCATGTTTCATCTTGCTTGGTAAGCTCCAGAAGTTGTCGTACCAGCTCTTGATTCTCCTGGTTGATCTGTAGATTCGCAACCTCCAAGTCAGAAAGCTGTTTGAGCACCTGGTCATGTGCCGAGGCTAGATTTTCGTGGGCTAGCGCGAGTATGTCGCGCCGGTTCACAAGGCGGAGAAGGGCCCTACGCGATTCGCATGAGACGCGAATCAATGCATCAGATACAGTTCAAGTACGTACCGTTCAGGTGGAATAGTGGCTTTCAGGTGAACCGCTTTTAGGATAGGGTCAGTCATGAGGATGGTGTGAGTGGCTTTCCTCCTGACAGTGTAAGTGGCGCGCGCCTCGAGCAACTCGCGCTCTGCATTCGCGAGGTGCTCCTCGATCTCATCGCTGGAGGGTGGCCCTGTTTCCGGCCCAGGATCTGAGGAGTCATTTAGCGCAAACCCAATAGAAATATAGGCATTGTAAAGAAAATGGAAAGTAAGAGAGAGGGAAGGACAGAGAAAGGAAAGAAATCATTTTATTTGGGGCAAATAAAAGTGGATAAAAGAGTATCACCAAACCCTTGAGGATCTAGATCGTACCTGATTCTAACAACGCCTTTTCGAGTTGTTGTTCCTGGACCTGGTTGGCGAGCTGCAGAATCAGTGCCTCTTGATCGGATAAGGTCACCACATCATGAGAGTCATCTGCCGCATAACCAAGGAGGGTCAGCTCACCCAACCGCAAATGCGGCAATTGGGTATGTTTGGTCGCCATGGGAGGGGATCTCGTGCCCAGTAGTGAGCACCTGGTGATATGATAATGCGCGGGCGCGGAGGCGGTGGGGAAGGCAGCTGCTCACGGGGAGCTGCAGCCTTCTTCTGCTTTATACCCATCCCCTCCCATTTCCCTTGGACACGCGAGCTTCTCAAGCTCGAATGGTGAGGAGGGGGAATGTCTTTACATATCTATATCGCTCACTCTGGTGAGCATCTTCTCGCAGACCCGGTTTCCTTTGCTTCGTATGTGCTTGCCTAACCATCGGTGTGGGGATGCCTCACCCGTCACTCCTCGCTTTATGTGAATGCATACTGACTCCACTCCCGTTGATTGTTTAGACCGGATGCGTTGAAATCATGGATTGTCCGAAATACCTCTATTCCACCTCCGAGACAAATATTGATGACTGCGCGGGGGAAAAATGTCAAGATACAAACGCTAGCCACTGAGGTACGAAGGCCCTCCCCCCAAATCCCCCCAGCCTAGGAACGTCATCCAGGATTTGATGGAGTGCGTGCTTATACGGATATGGTAACCTGCAGACTGAGATATTTGTTTATGATCGGCAATATGTGAGCGACCCGGGCGATGTTGAACTACCGGAGCTACCTCAACCGGAACCCTTGCAGTCGACGAACCCACCAGCATCTATCACCGACCAGAACGACCTTCACTCATGGCGAAATCTTTTCATGAAAAGGCGGACCTGGGCTCTTGGTCTTTCCACTCGCTGCGGAGAAACTGCGAAAAAGGGCCGCGAACACAATGAGCGAACCGAGATCATACACCGAGGAGTGGGTGTGGCTTTGGAGAACCTCAAATCTCATGTGGGAACGCTCGAACACCGCTTCCAGGAAGCACAGACATGGGCGAACACGCTTGTAGAGGAGCAGCAGGCGGCTCTGGATGGCTGGCAGCGTGCTCTCTCAACTCTTGAGAGTATTCCCGCGCGGAAGGACTTTCCTTTGCTTGGTCGCCCATCCACCCCAAAGAAGGACAAGGACAGGCCCACAGGGACCCTCCGCGACTTTGTCGACGTGTTTGAGGTTGAGCAAGCTGGATCAGACGCTGCTCTAGCGTCGCCACGCTTCTCTGCCCAAATCCAAGATATTGAGAAGATGGTCACCGACATTGCTGTGGAGACACAAAGTTTGGTGGACGAAACGCCACCTGAGCCAGACGCTGGCGATGAAGGGCTTTTGGAGGAGGTGGAAACCATTGCAAAGAAAATCGGCTCTGACTACGAACATGTCCTTGGTTTACCCAACAACCAGAAGATGCTGGCAACCATTTCTAGGCTGGCCCTCAGCCATACACAAGATCTTCTTCCCTCGCTTCTCGAACTTAGTAAGGATATCCAGCATACCATGGAGGAGTCATGGCGACGCCGTGAAGCTGCAGAGAAGATGGCCCTTCAACAGATGCGAACAATCTCACATATTGAGTCTCGCCTTGCAGATGCCCACACCCAGCTTGTCAATCTTGACGTGAATAGCAACGCGTTTGACATTATATACTCTGTCTTCCAGATGCCAATGGTCTATGGATCAATTCTGATAGAGTCTATACGTCGCCGGGAATGGAGCGATAAGATAAAAGCTGACTCGCTTAGCTTGGCGGAGGAAATGGCTGTTCTCACAGACGAGGAACAAAGACGCCGCAAGAAATGGGTCAAAGTCATGGGCGATTTCATATCATTTGGAGATACCACTGCCCCGGGAATCGAAGTCAACTTTCAGGGCCAAGATGATGGGTGGCCGGAAGTCAACCGGAAAGAGATTGAACTCTACATCGATGAAATAAGGACGAAACACTCACTGTCAAAAATCGCGGATGATTTGTCCGTACAGTTCAAAGACTTGGATGCACCAACACGTCAGCAACGGCGTCGGGCCAAGGCATTCAAGAATGGAAGCGTTTTCGATTTGGGCAGAAGCTCGATATTACTACGCGGTGATGACATGGTTCGAAGCCTGCAAGAGGAGAAAACCAAGCTCGAAGAAAGAGTCAAAGGATCCGACAGCCGCATCCGTAAGCTTGAGGATCTGCTGCATCGCCAAAGTCATCTTAGTCGGCCCTCAAGCGGTAACTTCGGCCCCGACTTTCCGAGCTCACCAGCGTCGCCGCACCCCGATGCCATGTCGCGTCGCTCCTCTGTTTCTTCAAGACGAGTATCAATGACCCAGTCCCCGGAAGATCGCGCGCTGGTCCAGCGCATCGTATCACTCGAAGCTGAACTAGCCGCTGAAAGGGATACTGTGCAGAGGCTTCACAAGGAAGCACATTTTGAACGCCAGACAAACTCTGACAAGTACCAAGAAGCCCAGTCCAAATATAACGAAGCTCAGTCCACGAAAGAAGACTTGATTGGGAACCTCGAGGCTCGGCAACGTGAATTCGAGGATGAGCGGAGAGATCTGGAAGCTGAACTTAAAAAATACCGACACCGAAATGAGGAGGTTGAAGAAGAGCTAGATAGGCTCATGGATGGCCGCGATCATGAAAGGCAAGAATCAGACGAGCGCATCCATCAACTTGAAACCGAACTACAAAACGCCCAAGATACATCTGCCGAGGAAGCTCAGAAAGCCACTGGGCTCAATGATCGCATCAAAGCCCACGAGGAGAGAGACCAAGAACTACGGGAAAAGGTTGAAAGTCTTGAGCACCATAACAGCAAGCAGAACCAAAGAGACCAAGATAACTACAACGCCCTCCAGTCAGCCTTCATGAATTTATCACCCGGAGGAACCGTTCCGCCCGAACTTCCTAGCCTCATCAAAGCCGTTGATATTCTCTCCGAGGGTCTCTCCATTCATGCTAAAAATGCCGAGGAGAGCGCATCGCAAGCAGCGGAAGAAATTAAGTCCCTTGGTGAAAGAAACGCTCAACTCGAGTCGGATCTCCAAGCGGAAGCAAATAGGCTGGAAGGCAAACAAGCTGAAATATCACGACTTACACAAGAGCTTTCAGAAACACAAACAAAACTGGCTAGTATCAGGTCTGAGTTGGAACACGAGCGTTCTGCTTTGCACACCTTGCAGACTCACGTATCAGCCGGTCAAAGCGGATCCGATGCCTTGCGAGAACAAATTGCCGAGGAAGAACAAAAGCACGCAACTCTTACTCAAAAACTCGCAGACGCCGAAAGCGAAACCCGGGACCTAAAGAACAAACACTCCGAGTGTGAAAAGAAGCTCGAATGGGCTTCCCAGACGGAGGAGCAGGTTGTGGCTCGAATCCATGCCCGAGGAGTGCGATCCCATGATGTCTCTAAGCAGCTCCACTCGCAGGTCGACACTCTGGTGCGGATACTTGAGCAGATGGGCTTTGCGCTTATTCAACAGGACGGGCATCTTGCCGTTCAGAGAGCTTCTAAAGTTAACGCCTCGTCCAGCCTTGGGGAGAGTATTGCTCAATCTGGGATCGTCTCGGCGAGACCCGACGCTTCTTTACTGCCTTGGATGCAGGCGGAGACCCCCGAGGAAGAAGAGTCTAATTACGCCGCGTTCATCGAAAATCTATCACGCTTCGATTTCTCGATTTTTGGGGAGGCAGTCATCAAACGTGTCAAGGATCTTGAGACGTATGCTCGCAAGTACCTGAAAGAATCCCGAACGTACCGTGACCGCTATCATCGGGTTCAAAGCGAGGCGCACGAGAAGATTGCGTATCGCTCCTTTAAGGAAGGAGATCTCGCCCTGTTTCTCCCTACCCGAAACCAAGCGATTCGTTCGTGGGCAGCCTTCAACATCAATGCGCCTCATAATTTCCTGCGCGAGCAAGATTCTCACAAATTAGACACGCGAGACTGGCTATTGGCTCGCATCACCAAGATTGAAGAGCGAGTAGTCGATCTATCCAAGTCATTGAACAGTGCAGCCGCAGACCGTAACTCACTCGGGGATGCCAGCGACGGCGCGTCTTTAGAAGATGACAATCCCTTCGAGCTTTCGGACGGTCTCCGATGGTACCTCATCGATGCCGTTGAAGAGAAGCCTGGCGCGCCCGCTACGCCGGGTATCTCGAAAAGCACCGTTGCCTCCGCGCATGTTGACGCCAAAGGCAGTATACGTCTCAAGCGACCGACCGAAGAAAGCACCGTCGCCCAGACTCTATCTAAAAGCTTAGATAGCCGACGTAATAGTTCTAACTCCAAACGAGGCACACCTACGCCCTCTCACAAGGCGAACGACTCAGCCTCGGATATCGTTCGGCCAGCCGACGCGGATACCGGCTCTCAGACTAGAGAGGCCGCACCGATATTTGACGAGGTTCGCCGTGGCCTTCTCAGAGACCCGTGAAAAGTAGGAAAATATGATAGATTCCTTCTTTACCGGGTCATTTACCTTGCAACTTTGAATGCTAACTGCCTCTCAATACAGAATCAGGATCCCGCATCAGCATCAGCAGCGCAGTTACACATCGGTGCTACATCACCAGCATCACCGCCTTCGCGATCAGCTTCTGGTCTGCGACAGGCTAGGTCCCGTCCTTGGGAGAAGCTATGGTCAATGGACTATCGTCGAGAGGAAAGTGGAACGAGATAGGAGGAAGGCTTTTTTTTTTATTTTTGCTGTATTTTTTTTTACATTTTTTGTTTACTTCATGCTAAATTCCTTTGCCTTTTCTTCTCCAGAAATCGCGTCTGTGCGACTGGGGACTTGACATCTACCCTAGAAGAGATTTATTACGAGATACCCAACATTTCCAATACATTCAAATTATTTTTGCAAGACTCTCTTCATATTATCCTCCAAATCTTGCTATATACAGCGACTCCAGCTAGACCCTTGGATCGTTCAAGAGTGCCGGTCCCTTGGCCTATTTTTTAGCATTCAAGCCCTTCTCCCAACTACGACGTAAACATTGTAACTAAACCAACAGTTCAAGTTGTGCAAGTCTTGCTGAGCTGCTTCTTTCATAGCCATAACTTGATCTGCCGACTTGGCCCATTCAAAAGTGCGCCCGTTCAATGCGGCAATCATAAAGTTATGAATTCCATCAAGAACTGCCCTGTTGAGTTCATCCCTGCCCAACGGGTTATCCAATTGATACACCTCTTCACTGCAATCTTTGAGGCCATTCTTCCGAAAAATTCGATAAAGAGCATTAACGCTAATTTCATATGTTAGAACTAAATTGGAATTTGTAGGAAACAAAGAGAATCTATCTTACTTTGGTGTCTTTCCCAAAGCATTAGCCGTGGTGCGAAGAAGCTCCGTCCATCTTTCAGCGTTGATGGGAACTCTGCCTTCAGCTGCTCCCTTCGCGACGAAGTCTTTTGCCGAGCAGTCAAGCCACTGTATATAGCCACCAGATCCTTTTTATGTTAGCGTATGATTTGGTGCTTCCGACTTGAATGATTAACCATACGAAGAAGAGAGATAAGGTTGCGGAGTGCAGGTTCCCACTCGTCAGAAGATAGTGCTACCACCATTGCCCGAACATTGACGACATCATATTGACCAATGAATTGAGTCGGAAATGGTTCTAGGAGGTTGTGATGGATAAAGCTAACATTCGTCGGTCTTGGGGTGTTTTTGAAAAACATCGCATCGGAGAGATCGAATCCGTCGAGTTGGCAATCTTCGGGGAGGGTTTTCGAGAGGTCTCGTAGCCATATACTTGATGCATATACTATTAGTTCCGTATGCATACTTGACCTTAGGCCCTCATGGGGTCCTTCAGAATCGACCAATTTATATGAAACATGGGAGAAGGTGTGTGTACTGACCCTGTGCCTGTTCCTACATCTGCCACGCGCAGAGTCTCCCTTTGGGTGATTGTTGGATGTAGAAGATAGCCGATATTGGTTTGCCAGACATTATACTGCCTTTCAAGTCTATAAACCATGGTTTGACACATTACTATAGAAGAACCATCTCGGAAGGATTGCGAATTCTCTGGTACCTTTCGAGCTCATCCTTGGTACGGATTAAGACATACTCGCCTGGGCAATTGAGTTGTGGAGCCATAGTGATATGCTTGATCGAGGAAGAATTATATTAAGCAAATAGGGGAAGTAGTAGTGATGAAAGCTTGGGGAAAATCTGTCTCCTTATCTATTACTACTAGTAGTACTTTCTATATATGTTGCGGGGCTATAATACCAGGCTATAAATCATCACAGAGCCAAGGATGACGCCGGAGGAAAGACTCGAAGGATTCTCTCTCCTGCCTGAACTCTGAAAGACTGAGAACAATTGGTAGACAACAGCTCTTTGGAGTATGTCTCAGGAAGGAAGGATTTCTAAAGGCTGCATGCCCATGCTAATTTGGACATGATCGTCTTCGTCAAAGGCCCCTTTCCCGAAACAGCCTGGCAGTGCGTTGAGACTAATGTCATTTTGCGGATACTCCGTGCTAGTGTAACAAATGAATGGAATTGAAGACGTCGCCAGTCCCACTTCTCAAGACTGGGGCTCGCTTTGCTTGTCCCAATGGGCAAATACCAGTCGTATCTGTCTCGAATGGGAATGGATTAGATTTATCTTGGGACCATTCGGAACGCATGGTTCATGAATAACGGGTCATTTAACGGCTCGGGCCCGTATGTAGATCAATATATGTGCCAAGGCTGGGAGTATTTATGTTTAATAGTACATAGCCCAATTCGAAAAGTTTTGAATCTCTTACTTAATAGGATTTCGGCTTTGACTATGGGGTTATTGGACAGTTTCAATATCCCGACCACTTCCTGGGTGATGACCGCCGGATAATGTAGCCGCAGTACCCCCGTTTCAGCACTACCTAGTAGGAGTATTAAACAACGGCACTAGACTAAGAAATATAGTCCACTGATGTGGTGTATGTGGGCTATTCAATGTATGCTACAATACCACAATTACATCGAACCAAACCTAGGTCTACCCCTGACTGCAATTGGATACCTGAGGGGAAAGAAGACGCTTTTGTAGGATGAATGGGGCAAACGAGCCTTAGAAAACAACGAAACATCCATATTGGTGCTTTTTAAATGGGCTCAAGTTCAAGTTCCAAGTTACCCGGATGTTACGTCGGTTTCCAGGTGTGGAATCCAGACACGCCGATATAGGACACCCCGTTCTGTCTGGGGACATACTAGTACTAGGTAGTACGTCGTTCCGCCAATAGACTCCTTGCTCAACTCGACTCCACAGCAATCAGCTGTGGCTTGCTTTGAACCATTCCAATCGAGATAATTACTGGGAAATCGAAAACTAAACCAGCAAGGACTTGGCAGCCGATTAAAAGCGTGACCGTGTACCGACGTAAGATATGAGAGGGTCATGACGTCACAGATGCTAAGAATCGGAGAAAGCATGTCCAACTATTTATTGAGTATAAAAGACCGAAGGCAAACCACATGTACATTATTCTCTTTTGAATTGAAGGAAGAATTACAACGCTTCTAAGTTCATACATTTAAAATATCTACACGACCGCTATCTGAAACCTACCGCTCAACCATGTCAGCTACACGCTTTATTCCAGTCATCAAGTCCCGGGTGGCACCCTCTATTGCACCTCGGGTCACCACCATTCGGTCTATCTCGTCAACAGCTAGCTATCAGAAAGGGCCTATCGATGCGACAAAGGATACGCTTAAGCAAGCTGATCGGATTGTCTCTGATGCGACTGTGAAGGGTATCGATAAGGGAGGTTCGTTTAATTTCCGATCCTTGACGAGAATCTGGATTTGCCGAATGCTGATACAATCGACTCTTTATCGCAGAGCAAGCCAAGGACAAGCTTAAGGATGTCATGGGTGCCACTAAACAAGATGCTGAGGGTAAAATGCAGGAGGCGAAGGGCGAAGCGGCTCAGTATGCGGGCGAGGGCAAAGGGAAGGCGGAGCACATGGCCGGAAAGGCAAAAGGCAAGGCCTCTGAGGCCATGGGTGAAGCAGCTGGCAAGGCCAAGGAAGCTAAAGAGAAGCATCTTGGTTGAAGAGGTCACATATTTCCTGCCTCTGTGATAATGACGCTTGTTCGTTTGTCGCCTCACATTGCGTGACTTGTATATCGAAATTTGTAATATCAAACTTGCATGTTCAAATCGGCGTATGATTATGCTTTTGGCGTAGGGCGTTCGACCAGAGAGGTCCGAAATCTCAACTCGGTAGCATCATCACGTACTCGCGAGAGCTAAGACCAAATCGAAGTACATCCTTGTCCATTACCTCAACGTAGCGGCCTGCCGGAGCCGGATCTCCGTTAACACTGGTTCCGTTCGCACTCTCTAGATCGATGATATATGGCTTCACCTTGCCAATGCGATCGCCATACTCATTCTTCTTTTCAACATAGCGAAATTGAAGTGCAGCATGTTGTTTCGAGCAGCTGGGGTGATCAAGAGGGAAGTCCACTATAGCTCTCTCACGTCCAACAAGCCAGCAACTACGCTCGCCCAGTTCCACCATCTCTAGCAGATCATCGCCCTTGAAGACGTACAACCGCCAGGGTTCCTTGGATGGTGGCTTGCGCGCCTCTGGTGGTTCGTGGTATTTCAAGACAATTCCTTCCCCGCCTTCAACCTGGATCATATTACTCTCTGCCGCGAGACGTCCGGTGTTTTTGAAATTGGGCTTCTCCTTCTCTGGTGGCGGGGGTCCATCACCCGACTGTGTCAATTCGGTTGAGAAGGCATCTTCCTGAGAAGGGAGAGGGCCACGTTGCTGTATCTCCTTGGGGGGGCTGGGTGATTTCCGTGGAGACCTGGAGCGTTTCTGTGGACTTCTGGGTCTTCTAGACGATCGCTCACTATCACGATCGCGGTCTTCGCGGTGTCGATGGCTGCGGTGTCGGTGTCGTCGGCGATCCTCATTGGCACTTGTAGATCGTTCTCGGCGTTCTCGGCGGTGGCTGTCACGATCTCGGTGACTCCTACCTTTTCCGGGTGGGCTTCGAGAAGAGCGACGCCGAGGACTGTCTCTGCGAGAGCTTTTCGCACCATCTTCTCCACGTCGCGAGCTTCGATGGCGGTCATCCCGTGAATCTCGAGTTCGTCGATCGCGGTTTCGGTCAGGTGAACCATCTGGAGAGCGACGGTGGCGGTCACCACGATCGTCTTGCGACTCTCCCATTGTTGTAGCGCGGGGTTTGGGGTGAATTGAAAGTAGAGTAATGGTTGAAGCTCAGTTGGAGAATCTCCAAGGCAAGCTCCGGCACCACGTGATCAGACCCGTGGCCAGACAGTACATTACTGTCAGAACAGATAATTCCATAATACTAGCGCTCTTTAGCGTGTGCACGCTTTTTAGCCTAGTAGTATATGCTAATATACCTATGTAATTGCACCCCAAGAACTTGTAACAGTTATAATCCCGGTAGCCCTATACAAATAAGCACCACAACAACACAGAAAAAAGGATCACCAGAATATACTCTCATCATCTCCAGGAAGCTCTACTACATGTATCCAAGCTCCCTCAGAAAGTATATCAGAACAGATGATTCCATGACTGGGTACTACTAGAAGTTCTAACACTCTTTAGCGTGTGCACGTTTTTTGGCCTAGTAGTATATTGTAATATATTTGTACCCCAAAAACTCATGACAGTCATAAGCCTGGTAGCCCTGTACAACTAAGCAACAAAGGTCTTACATACGAAACCCACCAAATTTATACAAAAATTCACAATAGCTCCGAGGCCCCTAGCATCTAAGGGACGAGCCCCAGCAAAAAAAAAATTAAAAAGGCTTAACAAGGCCTAGGGGAAGAGCACTGGTGCCCTCAGCCTAAAATAAGCACCCCAGTAACACAGAGAAAAAGACCACCAGAATATGCTCTCATCAACTCCAGGAAGCTCTACTACATATATCCGAGCTCCCTGAGGGGGTGTGTCAAAACAGATAATTCCATGATACTAGCGCTCTTTAGTGTATACACGCTTTTTGGCCTAGTGGAGTATGTTTTGATGTGTTTGCACCCCAAAAACTCGTGACAAAACAGTTGAGGGGAGCTACACCTGGGCACCTCCACTTCTCATTTTCATTCAAAGAGCGCCGGAATTTAACCGTGCTCTCTCTTGAAAGCCATGTGGAAATGTTCAAGAAGCGCGTATCTCTTAAATATGGCGGCTTCCAGCTCTCAAGCTCATCTACTGCGGTCTCGCCACTCCGTCATCTCAGGATTAACCATCCAGCCCATGGCCCTAGAGCACCACATGCTGGTCGGAACTATGCAACCACATCGAATCCCCCAGAGCATGAGTATTCATGGCCAGGGGCTCCTTCATTTTCCCCATATGAAGTCTTGAATTTGGATCATGCGGCTCCATATTCCAAGAACATTTTTTACGACCTCGTGAAGATTTACCATCCAGATCGACCTTGTAATGAGCATCGTCTTTGTCGAGGCCTATCACCTGAAGTTCGCCTTAAGCGATACCATATTGTCGTAGCAGCACATGAACTTCTTTCCGATCCCAATAAGCGAGCTGCATATGACCAGTTCGGCGCTGGATGGAACTACGGGCCGAAACGACATAACACCGCAGCTGGAGCATCTGCAGAATGGGGACCATATGGGCCAACGATCTATGCAAACGCTACGTGGGAAGACTGGGAGCGGTGGAATAACCGACACGAGAAGCAGCAGCACGTCGTTGATCACCGCACTTTTACACGACTTGTGATTCTTCTGGTTTTGTTTGGAGGCGCTCTCCAGGCATCGTGGATCTCGCAGCAACAAACTGGTTATGAAGAGCGACTTCGCGAGGTTAGCCAAGAATCGTCGCGGTTCCTGTCCGGTCGTCGGAAACATACTGTTGATCAGATGCCTTCCAATGATGCTCGCGTGCAGAGTTTCCTCGTCCGGAGAGATCCGACAGGAGCAGGTCTCAAAGAGGAGGAACAGCCTGTTTACCAGAGAGAACTTCATCCCCGCCGTCAAGAGCCTGAAGGTGACGCGAAATTCACATCCCAGAGCGGAAGGAGTCCTACAGGAAATGGCCTAAAACTGAGTGACCCGAGTTCGGAAGGTGTCCATGAGGACGTTTGATCTATTCAAGACATATTTCTTTTGCATGGAATTATGGCAAGCATGCATGCCTTCGTTCTTTTTATTTTTGGGCGCCGTCTTCAAGTTGATGACATCATCTGCCTCTACCCAACATACTAACCACATAGGACTTACATCCCCCCCCCGACTTCCAAGGAGTCAATCTTGGAATGTACATAGATATTTTGATTATTCAAAATAAATGGATAATTATACCAACGATTGATTTTGGATCCGAATTGTGTGAATCCACCTGTTCGCTTGAATAGTTCACGACTACCAGTCCCAGGCCTTTCGCAATTTGGCCCCAAGGGCCGTCGATGGCCAATAATTGTTATAACGGACCGTATTCATCACAACGTCCATCAAGGCTTGCTGCTCAGTGAGGTCGGAGAAGCGATCTCCGCAGATAGCAATGGCAATCGATGCAGTAAGAAGAGCAGTTGGCTCCTGGCGATTCGAAATCGCAATTCCGCAAATGTCCAACACAGTTAACCTGAGCTTAGCATCGATTGATTCCATAGCGCGTCTCTGGCCTGGTCCAACCCTGGCAATGGTTGGATCATAAGCCGTTAATAATATGGTTATAAGGCCAGCAGTCTGTTCGGCAAGAATATGGCAATTATCCAGGTACCATTTTCGAGGGAAAATTTCACCTTTATCCTTATTCGGGGCATCGGAATACACGGGAAAGAAAGAGAGGGGTCGCTCTTCCAACCAGCGGTGATGAAGTGAAACAAGTTCTTCGTAGCGAGAGTGTGTGGTATGGTCTTGATCGCCATAGCAGTATTGAAGGAAATGTGCAGCGATAATGAGGAGCCGGTTCACCGAGATATGATCAGGCGCGGTATCCCAGGAAAGGTAGCTTTCGCATATGTCGAGTGAGAGACGAAATGGTCGCTGTTGAGAAAAAGCCATATGAAATTCCTGGCGAAAGCCGATCCAAAATGCCGCATGTCGGAGTCCCATAGACGTTAATGCTAAACTTGCTTGCGCTTCGATAAAAACTTGAAGACCGCGAGTAGCGGCGCCAGTTGGGAGGTCAATGAACGGAGCTGCCATCAGAAACTTAGTTAGAGGGGAGGAATTGGGATTAACCGTCGCGAGCCAGCAAAATCGCTCTTAGTACTTACCGTCTAATTCCTCGTAGAATCTCAGGACCACTGCCGCCGCAAGAAGATTCTCATCCATAATAGCATCCGGCTCGTCAGCAAGAAGTCTTAGGTGCGCAATGGATCGATTGTGATAATCAAGTACCGCGGCTTCACTAATAATGAGATCCTCATGGAGACCTAGCTTTACCGTCTTTTCCTTTTGTCGGTAATCTGGAAGTGTGGTGAAATGTCTTGCCGAAGCCGAAAGAACAGCATTAAAAAGTGGTGAACAGAATCGTGCCCTTTGGGGAACAACTAATCCAAAGTGTCTTTCGGGGTCACATATGTCAAACTGGTCCAATTCTGTGATCAGCGTATATTTTATTTTGCTCATCTTATATCATCGTCATACCCATTTGGCCAGTTCTTCCACAAAATATCGAAGCAGAAATGCCTCTCCTAGGTTAACTTGACGATTAAAGCTTGGCTTCTCGCGTTGAGGTATGGGAAGATACTAATTGGCTATAGTTAGATTCCAGGTTTTTTTTTTTTTTAAATAATCGATTTCACGCTCTGTTATCGAGAGCAATAAGAAAGTACTGCAGGGTCGCCCGTCTCTTTTCCACTTACAATAGGCTCAGGCTCAGTTTGAATGTTCGCTTTCGCTTGCCATGGGAGGTGTTCATTGGATGAGGAGATTTGAGTCGTCCTTTGGAAGTATTGATCATGTGTCTCTGGGGAAAGATCTTGAAGTGGGCTTTTTTCTGTTTGGCTCCCAGTGTATTTGCTCGTCTCATCGATGTATTGAAGAGCTATATAGAATTTTCAACTCAAATTGGAGAATGATTTGCACTCAAATAACTTACCCTGGGGACTTATATTCGACTTTGTAGATGAGCTTTGATGGTGCCTAAACTTTGTCTCTTGGCGAGTACAATCTCGTCCAGTCTTTTGGCATCTTGAACATTTTGGCATAGCATTGTCGCCTGGAAAATTGTTGGCAAATTGTCTATATCAAGATATCTGACAAATTATCCTTGAGAGAGATATGACCCATACATTTCAAATGATGTTCTGGAATCAAGGAGCAATAAGTTGATGGTTCTTGTTCTTGAAATTGGAGCGGCGGCAAGCTATGACCTACTTCGGCAATTATCACTGATCGGGAATATTAGCACACCACGTGGATAATTGCTATGCGGTGATACATACCATGGCTTCTTTTTTGATGGCATTGCAGATTATTTTGTAACGTAACGCCAAACCCTGTCGTGGCTTGTGAGAGTTAAATGTGAAGGCTGGTTTTGTGGGACAAGAATATGGCTGGTCAGCTGACCTCGCCCCCATTAACCAGGGACATCTTTAACAACTTGAAGTCACCATCGCGACGTTTACTGGGGGGGTTTTCGAGACTCTGGGGTTGATTCAAGTGGAGAGAAATAATTTTTATAATTTTGCTTATATGTTTTGAAAATCGAAAGAAAAATCGCGATATCTGATTATGTACAGCTGGACTAAAACTATCACGGTACGCAAGTTATGCAAGACAATACAAGCCTCCCTCAAATTTTGGGATATACCTAGACATGGATTCAAGTTCAAAGTCCGTCACCTGGGGCCCAAATTTTGTACCAACGTTGATCGATGCCGGGATCACTATTATCATAAAACCTCAAATCCGAACTCAATCGGATACTGCCCGATTTATCTTCATTGCGTCCACTGGCATGAATACTATAAGGGTCGTGGAAGACAACATCACCAGCTTCGTAATTGGTAACTAGCCACTTATGCTCCCCGTGTTCCAAATGCATTGCTCGGAAATCTTGAGGAGACGATGCGATCATGCCTCCATCGAGCATGTTCACATTGAATGCCGAAATGCGCTCTTCCTCGGTGAATTCTTTCGCGCGTTTGGTGTAATCCCTCTCAACATGGCGACCAAGTGGCACAGAGTTCTCGAGGTAGCAAAGGCCGCCTCCATTAATAGCGATATCACCTGAACGGCCCGTTCTGTTAGTATACAGAGTCCAAGGATCGGCAATGATACGATAGTCTCACCAATCGGAACCCAAGCGGTCAAAAAGAAGCCCTCGCCTCCTCTCAAAAATAGTTTGTCGTAATGAATACCAGTTCCCAGACCGAAAGGAACATTATGACGCAGCATTGTCCGATCTAAGATTCGATGTTCCTTCCAGTCCATAAACTTTCTGATGAACCCAGTCAAAGCCGGATGCTCAACAAAAGCACGATAATGTGGATCTTTATGGGCATCTATGAGAACCTTCTCTTCAACGGGATCGGCTGGCAAGCCTGAACCGCCAATTCCCTTGTGTGCATTGGGGTGCGAACCCGAATTGAAGATTCCATCTCGAGGTGAAGTTCCAGGTTCCAAAAGCGAAGTAGATGCATACTGCCGGAAGTAGCTGCAGGGAGATAACAGATAACACGTTAGTACCTAGTTTTTTTTAAGTATTCAGGATATGGGGAGGGGGCAGCAAAAGTACCTCTCACGCATATCTAAAACATCTTCTCGGGGAATGAGTCCTTTGACAAATAGATAGCCGTCCCGTTTAAGCCGCTGCCTCATTTCGTCGATCGGCAGTGATGCAGGTGTCGGCTTTAAAAATCCCACTCGCTCGGTGGGAATCCTCCCACCATTTTGGGCTAGTCCATCTGGAAACCATTCGTCGACAGAGCCCTTTAGCACTGGAGGTGCCACGCGTTGAACTACAGTAGTAGCCATGATAAGTTGTAAACGAGAGAAATCGATACGACAGAAATTTCATTTCATAAGAGCTTCTACTAATACTATGAAGGAGAAATATATACTGCGGGTCACCTAGGTCATCGGACACTGTGCCAATAATATTCTGTCTTTTGACAAACCTCAGGCGTAACGAGTGTAACGCGGGCTAATCACAATAAAGATCGTTTCGCGGCAAGTCTGAGTCCAGATGACGCTAAGCCCATTCAGTTGAAACTCGCCGATTTTCCGCCCAAAGTGGATTTCTATCGCCGTAAAATACCCAAAAAGGCAGGCGTTATCAGTTGAGTTACCCCGCCTTTCGTTATGGGGCCTATGTAAACGGTCGATACAGCCTTATATAGGACAGCCATGAGGTTGGAATTAATGTACAAGTTTACGATTAGTCATGCCTTGCAGCTTCTATCTGGAGATATTGTAGCTATAGCTATTTACTGGAGGATAATTCTAGCTCTTAGCACTTTCTTCGCCGGTCGCGCTTTCAACCCAAGGCTGTTTTGAGGATTCAAGCAGGTAGCATTGGCATTGAGGTGCAGCGGCCTACCCACACCCAACATGTCAGCAGTAACACATATACCTCAAACCCGAACATCTCCCTTTCCACCAACAATTCTTTTGAATCTGGATACGCTCTTTCCGTCTCCTTTTCCTTGCTGCCGTTCACCCTGAGCCAACACAGCCCAATCGCAAACATGGCTGCCATCGACTGGGAACGGGGCGAGCCGCAAGGGTTGGTTCCTCTGCAACCCGAACATCGACTCTTCGTGTCTGTCTACGGACCAGATCGCGTGCCCGGGACTCCAATCATCATCTTCATCCCAGGAGTAACCTGCAGCATCACCGAATGGGTCGTTGTCCGCCGTCTCCTCCAACCGAACGTTCGCACCATCCTGTACGAGCGATCGGGAATGGGAGCATCGGACGAATCGCGCGAGCCTCCCACAGCATCCGACATGGCCCTCGAGCTAGACACTCTGCTCAAAGCAATGAGAATTGCGCCACCTTATGTCATTGTGTGCCACTCATACGGAGGAATCATTTCTCGGGAATTTCTAGAATTGTGCCATAAGGACAACCGCGATGAGAATGTGGTCGGGATGGTCATGGTAGATGCGAATCAGGAAAGGAGTACCGTGCTCTGGCCGGATTCCAACATTGAAGCGATCAGTCAGGGACTGGACTGGAACACCGTGACGGGGCTCTCCAAAGCGCGGGTTCTGACAGATACCGAATGGCAGGCCTTTCTGGATGAACAAGGGAGCGAGAAGCATCAGCGTACAGCAAAAAAAGAAATGGAGCACTATGTTGACAGTTGCGCAACGCTACTTGAAAAGCACCAGTTTGACCGAGATCCTCCCTTGTTAAATAGGTATCCTGTGAGTGTTTTGAAAGGACACCCAGAGCTGGATCTGCGCAAAGCCTTCGAGGCTGGTGTCTTGGCTGGAAATGGAACTCGTGAGCAGAGGAGTCAGTTCTCTGAGAAGCTTGCGGCCTACCCCGCCATTAATGACCAACTTCAAAGAGAGAACCTTGGTCTGTCTCGCAATCACCGATTTGTAGATGTCAGAGGGCACGGCCATTTTATTCATATCACCGCCCCAGAAGCGGTCGTTGAGGGGGTCAAGTGGGTGTTGCAGAGCGTTTGAGAGGGCTTCGAAGTGGCAACCGATCACCATATAAACCTAAGTTTCTTTAGTATCACTACGACTTGAGCATATTCAATCACCATGCTGCACGGTTTCACTAATTTATGTAGCTGTTGAGCCAGACTACAATATATTAAACGTTGGACCATAGGACCATCGTTGATTATTTCAAGTTGCAGTTGACCAATCACTGGCAAGCTCGTAACATCGGGAGCTTGGTAAGAAGCATCAAAGGTATAAAAGTGTTCCGCATTTCATGGCTATGGCGCTCTCGAGAATATTTGGGGAGGGACGTGGAGCATAAAGGGTTGAGTTTCTTTGATTAATATTATTCTCTGCTTGTTCTCATAGTTGGCAGCCATGGATGAGGCAGGGCCCTTGATTGGATTTATTGAATTTCCTGGACCCAGGCTCCATGTGAAAAGTAAACCCAACTCAAATCAGATAGTCGATGGTAGATTAGTACCAATCTGGCATCATCGTATGCTACAGCGACAATCAAGAAAAGACTGATTCGACTCGGGAGTACTCTGAGGTATGAATAGGAAAGATACTTATCGCCAAACTAACTGGCGACTCTCAATTTCGAGCCAATACCTTCTTCCTCTGCTTCAGCATGTATGTATACATCATAACCGAACCTGTCACTGGTTAGATATGGTCTTCAAACCGGTAGCTATGAAATTTGCTTCACTCGGCTTCCAAAAAGGAATATCTCACTTACCAGGCACATAAAGTCCAAGGCAAAAGTAGAATGTGCCGGCGAGGGCCATATTTGTTGTGACGTTTGTCACTTTGTACATCAGCCACCATTCGCTACTGATTCCGATGGGGTACAAGATTGTGAACAGAGAATATCTATTTTGGAACCTCTGGTTAGCATTGGCCATTTCCCATAGAGATACAGAGGGCGGAAAGGACTTGGGCCTTACCTTAACCACTTCAATACTCCTGGAACGGGGTAGCCGGCAAGCATAATGGCAAAGTAAAGATAGCGGATAACATCGGCGGTTGACCAGGCCAGTAGCATAGCCAGATACGCCGCAGACGGGGCGGTCACCTCAGGGAAGGCATAGTTGATGGCCCAGACCTGAACGGAGCGGGCAAATACCTGCGTGAAGGTGGTGAAAACAGGCGAGCGAGTGATTCCTGACAGAGATCGATGAGAAAAACCAGCCAACGGAAATTGCATGCATGAAATAGATGTTAGCGTGAAGACTTACCGGTAGCGGCATGTAGGATCTCAGCCACAGCTAAGGTCTGAGCACAACGAGTCCAAGGTTCAAGGGTGGTGTATGCGACGGAAATGTCTTCTTCCGGTGCAGAGATCAGAGTGCCAACGACGAGGACTAGGATACGTAGCCAAAGAAAGGCGCAGGTGGTGTTATAAATGATAAGATAAACTCGACTGGCAGCCGGTACAGGCCGGGATTGGTTGGGAGGCATGGCGGGTAGATTCCGATGCTAATGACGTTTTCTGCGGTGTTTTCTCACGGAGTTGGGAAGTGTTGTGTGGAATTTGGTTTGGCATCTTCCAGCAAGATCGGCCGCTAGTTCGGTGAGTTAACCAAATTCGGTTGGAGGACGCAATCGCTAGCCCGAGACGAGTCACCCATGGCACTCATCACAACATGATCGTGAAGGGGAGCCAATTATGGCTGTGAGATATCATATTGAATCACTTGGAACAAAATTACCCGGTCATCGATATTGTCCCTGGGGTTGATCGCATTCATGGTGCCACGGAGAACCAATTCCGAAAATCAGGAGACCGCGCATTCAAAAGCCGCCCTGAACTCCAATCTCTAAATCGCAAGCACGAGTTATATCACTCACGTCTTCATCCCTGAAACGATGCTCGAATTCACCCACCAACGAGAGGCCGCACAAACTAGGTTCGGCACCCTGCCGAGGGGGCTAGGTCCCCGAGTCGGGTACCCGAGACTGGGCAAAGAGGGCGAGTCTGAGGAGAAGGGGGGGTCTCGGTTCCTATTCATGCCGTCATTGAGCTCTTTACGAAGTACATACGCATCTCTTACATCGGTTCACCGGGCAGCGAGTTCCCCATGGGGTAATGCGCTATGTACATAGCACGTTTTGGACTCTTGGTTACGGGGAACCCGAGCCAACAAGCAGATCCAGATGCTAGGCTGCGTCTCAAAGGGCCCCAGATGGTCAACGGTAGGAAACCAATTTCCAGGTCTTTTCCTAAGTGCAAGAAGGTCAATAGCCGATCCGGGGACGGGCCAATCCGGAAAATCACCCAATATGGGAAACTGCGGCGAAATTTAGGCTTCGCGCTCCCCGTCCGGGGAGGGATCAGCCCAGTGGAGAGTTGAAAGATGGAGGAGCACTCTTCCCTGCCTCAAAAGACAGTGGACACTGCGGGAATTTCCCCAGACCCATATGCAACTTGGACTAGTATGCGGAGATGGGGGTCCTATAGTGTCCACAGTGTCGTAAGCATAACAATCGTTGAACTGGGTGGTTGTATAAGACTGTTGGAAGTACGGACGCTTCAGAAATTTGAACTATCAACAAAATAGCGGTTTCCGTATTCCCTACATTGGGGTTTTTTTTTTACTGTTATACAACTTGTTTTAAGATTACATATCCCCCTTGATCAGAAATCTGATATACATCTAGTCATGTCTTCGTTAGAAAATGCCTCACAAAGTCAAAGCGGAGACGTCGCCTCCAAGACCGGGAAAGCAGAGCATATCGACGATGTCGACTTCGACGATATCGAGAAGGTCGGTATGGCAAACACCATCACCGATGTAGCCACTAGTGTCGACAACATTCCTATCAGTTGGTTCGTGTGGCTGGTTGCCGCCACGGCGTCGATGGCGGGTCTCCTCTTTGGCTACGACACCGGTATCATTTCAGCCGCATTGGTTTACTTAAACAACGATCTTGATAATAGACCTGTGACCAGCAATGAAAAAGAGTTGATCACTTCACTTTGTTCCGGAGGTGCCTTCTTCGGGGCCATCTTTGCGGGAATCACGGCAGATAGGGTACGCTCTTCATTTCATATTCTCATGCGAAGTCAGGGATTCTCCGAAATGATTTAGGCTAATGAATCTCCATAGCTTGGTCGTAAAATGGCCATCTACTTCGGCTGTGTCCTTTTCGTTGTCGGCGCCGTCCTTCAGGGTGCAGCATACACTATCATCCAAATGTCGATCGGACGCGCTGTCGTCGGTTTCGGCGTCGGCTCAGCAGCTATGGTCTGCCCCTTATATGTTGCCGAGATCGCTCCCGCCAAAGCTCGTGGGAAGCTCATCGGGTTAAACAATGTTTCTATCACCGGAGGGCAGGTCATCGCTTATGCGATTGGTGCAGCATTTGCCAGTGTTCCCCATGGATGGCGATATATGGTTGGACTGGGAGGCCTGCCTGCAGTTATTCTATTCTGCCTCTTGCCATTTTGCCCAGAATCACCGCGTCATTTGGCCTATAATGGAAAGGAAGAAGAGGCTCGAAGTGTGTTACAGAACATATACAAGGGTGCTACCCCAACCCAGGTGGATGCGGTTCTTTTCAACATCAAGATGGCATGCGACCAGGCACGGGAGGTCAACGAAAGCAGCAGTGCATTCTGGAAGATCAAGCAGCTGCATATGGTCCCCAGCAACCTTAGGGCTCTGATTAGTGCGTGTGGCCTGATGGTCATCTCCCAGCTGTCGGGATTTAATTGCTTGATGTACTACAGCGGTACTCTCCTAGGGTCTATTGGGTTTGGGAATCCGGTTGCGGTGGGTATGGTCATTGCAGGCACCAACTTCATAATGACTTGGGTGAATATGATGGTTATCGACAAAGTCGGTCGTCGACGTTTGCTTCTTTCCACTGCTTGGGGGATGGCCATTGGCATGCTGGCTATCGCAGTTGCCTTTGTCTGGATCCCCTTCAACCGGGAAACTGGCGAAATTGAAGCAACAGATGGGGTGACACCTGCGGCGATTGTAGTAATTCTTTTCATGATCTGGTTTGTGATTTTCTACGGCGCTTCAGTTGGAAATACCGCGTGGATGAGCACGGATTTCTTCCCGTTGGAAGTGCGTGCCATGGGTACGATGTGGCTCACTTGCTCCAACTGGGGATCCAATGTCATCGTTTCCAGTTGTTTCCTGTCAATGATGAAGTCAATGACTGGCTCCGGTGCATTTGGTTTCTTCGCCGCAATCTGCGGGTTGGGATACGTCTGGATCTATTTCTTCTATCCTGAGGTTTCGGGACTGGTCCTCGAGGAGATCCAAGATGTCTTTGAGCATGGCTTTGGCGTCAAATATGCGAACAAACTGCGAAAAGAGCGCAAAGACATCATTGAAGAGCGGATGAGAACCATGGAGAAACCCATTGCGGTGGGACATTAGAGGGCTTTCTCCCAAGACGGATAATTACAATTTGAAAAACAGAATATTTATGACCTTAGCATATTGAAACTTTTATTTACTATACTTCTCAACTCTCAGAACTTGTTCTGTACATGTATCTCATTGTTATCTGTACGTACATGAAGCACGACCCTAGAGTCTTCTAGTGACGCACGGGTATCGCTATGTTTGTAAAGTGAGAAAAGAAAAAATATAAAACCCTCCCAGATCAAAATTCGAGTCAAAAGCCAAACCCTAACACCAGAGATGCTTTGATCAATAATACAAGACCGCAACGATTTTGTTCTACTTTCGGAAAGTAACAGACTTGCCAGCAATTTCCTTCTTCTTGTTGCGCACACCAGAGGGTGCCTCCAGCGCCTTGGCGTAAGGATTGAATTGTTTCTTTGGGGCCCTGACACCCGGAGCAGAAGCCGAAGGGGCATGAAGAACCGAGTCTGCCGCACCGTAATCGAAGGGGGTAGCGTCGGCCTTCTCAGCCTTGGCGGCCTTCTTGGCCTTCTTTTCCTTGCGCAACTTCTTGCGCTCTTTCTCAACGGAGCTGCTGTCGTTGCTTGTATCATCAAGGCCATCAGCAGTCAACGCACCCTGGTCGGATGTTTCAACTGGCGTGACCTTGCGCTTGCGGGGGCCGCCGAGTTCCTTCACGGTGAAGACCTTTTTATCTTCTTCTTTGGCGGATGGTGTTGCAGCAGGAGCCGGTTTGGGAGCCGCAGGCGGTTGCTGAGGGGTGGCGGTGGCAAGATTCTCACGCACCTCGGAGACAGTGGAGGGCATGGGTGGCAGTGGAAGGGATAGCCGAAGAGCTTCAGCTGACGCAGTCATGGAGTATGAAAGAGGGGCAGGTTTTTCTTGAGCTTCGAGGATGGTGCCCCAAAACTGAGAAGTCTCATAACGCTCAGCGGTGGGGAAATCAACATCTTCCACGTCCATAGACATAGCCGGTGCGTACTTGGGTGGAGGTGCCATATCGCGCCATTCCGGACCCTCAGCGCCAGTAGCCTTAGCTTCCTTGATAGTGTCCAAAAGACTATCGGCACGATCTTTGGTGAGAGGAGTCACGGGTGATAAAGTTCGGAGCAAATAACCCATATCAAGGGGCATAGTCAAGGAAAGTTTGAACAGTATGTGCTTCGGGAACACGCACTGCCAACCCTCATCCACCTCTCGCGCGACTTCATCACGCCACTTGTGGACCGCCTTAAAAACGGCGAATTGCTCCTTCGAAAGCATGCCCGCATTTCGCGAGAGCAGGTCATACCAGCCTCCTGGGCCCTGACCCTTCTCTGCATCATAAACAGGACGCTCATATCGTTGGAGCGCTTCGTTTTTGGAGCGCTTTAGGACGTAATCGATGAGGCTGTTGTTTGGTTCGGAGGCTGCAATCAGCTCATTCCGCAGATTGTCGTAAACGTAGAGAAGATAGTGGGTATCAGATCGCGCATAGTCGAACATGGCAGATGGCAGTGGACGAACCCGCCAGTCGGCCATCTGGTATCGCTTGTCAGCTTCGAAGTTGACAAACTTGTCCAGAAGGAACTTCAGGCTTCTCTTTTGGTAACCGAGGGCAGAAGCGGCGTGAAATGTGTCGAACATGCCAACCACATACAAGCCCAGATCGCGTTGCAGCCAGATAATATCCATGGTGGCACCGTGAAGGACCTTCAAGATTTTTGGATCCGTGAAAACTTCGTTAAGTATTTGAAGCTCCTCTCTCCAGGGCTTGAGTGTGTCGACTACCCAATCCTTGTTGCGGGTGCTAATTTGCATGAGAGACACCAGACCATGGTAGGAATGGACGTCATGGTGCTCCAAATCGATGGCAATCTCCTTGGCAGCCTTAAGCTCCGATAACATTTCCTTGACACCATCCAATGTATCCACAAAAGTGGCGGTCGTACTCTCGAATGGCAAGTAATCGATCGGAGGTGAGGTTTCGTAGGTAGCCTTGGGGTATGTTGCGGCTCGAATTTCGGTCTCGTAAGGGCTAGGGTGACTGAGTTTGCCGTCAATCTGCTTCTTCTTCAGAGCCTGCTTCAATGGAACAGTAGCATTCGGCTTGGTCCGCAGAAGAGGGTGAAAGGGAGCCGTGTCCGAATTGTCAGGTTTGCGGTCGAATTGCAGTTGTGGCTTCGGGATCTTCGATGGACCATAGTCGTAGATAGTCGGGAACTTGCTCTCCCTTTTGATAGGAGGCTGCTCCTCGCGCGACGGGCTCAGCTTCTTTATCACGCCAGTGAATTCGTCCAAGCACGCATCGGCCTTCTCCAATAACGAGTCAATCACATCCACGACACCGCGCCAGTTATCCTCCAGTGCCTCCTCATTTGGAAGTTTCGGGTTCGCAATATCTGATCCAGCAGTAGCAGCTTTAAGCACGGCCGAGGTCAGAGCGAGAATGCGATCACTCTGTTCATCAAGCGACTCTGTGAAGTCCGCGCTAGAAGTGCGGTGGAAGTTGAGATCCTCCGAAGAGAGTTGGCCAGCTGTCCGGGTGACTTGGACCAAGCTGGAGGATAACTTCTCCTGGAATGGAGGAAACTCTGCGGAATCCATGGCAAAGCTCCGGAAATACTTCGACACGAGATGGCAACGAAGAGATAACCTTGTGAAGGCTGTGAAAAAAAGTCGCGGATCAACTTGACCGCCTACCAAAAGGAGAGAGTGTCCTCCGGTGTTTAATTGGCCGATCTCCGGCGATGCTGGTCTTTTCCAACTCCAACTCCACCTCTGCCTCTTTCTATAAATTCAAGCCTGCATTTTAAAGCCCAGGTTAATCCTCCTGTTCTTATTACACAGCTCTCTGAGATTCTCCAATATGGCAGCCTCCATCGCACCGGAATGCAATGAAATCAAAGAGTAAGTTAAGCCGAGAACAGCCATCAACTTGAGGTATGGAGCCATACTAACACTGATTTGAACAGGAGATACGATACCTGCTTTTTGAAGTGGTATAGCGAGAGTATGTTTCTCGTTCTCACACCATACAGATGATAACCGACTAACAATATTCCAGAATACTTGCGTGGCAACACCACGTCAAATGAGTGCGAGGAGCTGTTCACCAAATATAAGAAATGTCTGAATGTGAGTTCGTTATCCATAATATCCCTGGCTGTTCTTTTGTCGCTGACAAGGGAATTTTCTGATATCCAGAAAGTCCTCAAAGAGAGAGGCATCGATACGATGCTTGAGGATGCTCGCAAGAGCAGCAGCGAAACTGATTCTGAGTTTCTCAGGAAATCATGATGTTTCGCATGAGGTTTTCCATAAATAGTCTCTACTCATTTTTTTGTATTATACATTTGCAAGAGCGTGTTTGTGTTTGTTTTGGTCCTGCACTACGAATGAAAAGGCATTCAATTCCGAGTCTGCATCCATCCAGCATTAGACCCCTAGGGTCGCCATGTATAAAATCTTTCACCCGATGCATCCAAGGCTAAATTTTGAACCCTCCAGGGCTTACAATTTGAAGGCTTCCATCTGGCCGTACTACTGAGTATTATCCTCTAGTTAAAGGACTACTAGTAGTGGTAAAATATCACTAGCGTTGCCCTCGGGCCTCATGAAACCGCGCATTTTCAAGGTTATTCTCACACTACCTGGGGCCAAGTACAAGGACAAAGGTCTCCCGAGCCCTGGAGGTCATTTGTCATCATCGAAAGTTGTTCATAGTATACTAAGAATGCTCACTCAAAGTCTATTTACTAGAGTATTGTGGTACTAAGACTCGACATCATCGATGGCCTCGTCTCCGGGGATCATTTTGTCCAAAGTTCGGTGGCACTTTAGGGACTGGGCCTCCTAATGTCCCCATTCCGCCACCCATCGAGCCAGTCCCAGAGCTTCCACCACCAGTCTTTTTCGGCTGCGTGAGCATTGACCAGACTTCCACCATTCCCGCACGGCGGGCCGGAAGCATACTGTATTGCATGCTGTATAGATTACGGCGGTGGATGGGTGGAACGAAGCGTCCCGTGACAAGACAGAAGATGACGCTGGGTGCCAGGTAGTGCTTGCGAAGTCGATGACCAAGCTGAAAGTACTGGTCAAACATCGCACGCAGCGGGAGAGGAATGGACTGGTTGCAGGAGCATTAGTAAATTGTGTGTCTTTGAAGAAGTCGGTCAAGTAGTGAATTACCTCAATGTGGATGTAGGAAACTGCAGAGGAGTTTGGATCTGTCGCTTGTTTGTCTAGTGCATCCTTTAGTTCGAATCGGATACCACCAGGTAATCTCTGCGAATCCTTCGCGCGCAACATCAAGGCAAATAAAGGGAAATGGTTGAGAAAAGCGAGACATGTATCAAAGGCGGCTTTCATCGAAATGATCAGCATGCGAGCCGATGCGAAAGTCAGGTAGAAGACTATCACAGTTGGAAGAAGGAAGAATAGCACTGTGAACAGAATAGTGCCGAGTAGAAGTTGGTCGAGGTCATAGTCGCATGAGTCAATTCGGTTGCGGAGAACGTTTCGCTTCTTTCCGCGGAACAGATGGAAAAGAGAGATTATTATTGTGAGCTGCCAGTTGAAAATTCTCGCAGAGGCAATGTAGAAAGAATAGATATGAACGGTCAGGATCGAGAGAAGGTCAGAGAAGAGCGCGATAGGCATACTCGCCCCGGCAAAGCTCGAACAACCCACAATGTAGATGACAGCAGGAAGGTATGGTTGGAGGTTGGCAATGCAGGCAGCCCAGTTCTCGATGACCCATAGAAACAAGTCACCGAGGAAAGCTGCAAGCTCGTTGTTCAGTTTCAAGCCAGCCGGCCAGTCCATTAACCATGAAATGGTCCGCTGCAAGCCTTCTACCGTCCAACCGGTCAAAATAAGATTGATTTGCGATGCCACCCAGTTTGCGTTATCAATGATGTATGACCCGAGGGCAATACCGATGATCACATCATTTGCGACAAGCCATAAACTGTTGTAGAATCGAATATAATCCGGGTGGCTGGTTGTGACACTTTCCCAGTTGTCTTTTCTTTGGCGGAGTTTGACATATTGTATGGGCCAGTAGCAAAATTGCTGCAGCCGTATATCAACCTGTTGAGCCGTCGCTGAAATGTCCTTGAGGGCAGCAGCGTCTGGTCTGGCTCGCCACTCTAGAATTTGCAAGACGACCTCAGCAACGGAACGGTGACCAACCAGGCCTATGACGAATACCCGAGTAACAACGGGCCAAATCCATTGCCAAAATACATGAGCAATGCAGAGCACAATGAATCCCCACAGCGTCGTGGCAGATTCTACCACTCGCTCACCAACACTCATGCTTCGCTTGGCGCGAATTCCAATGAGATGGCTATTTTTGTGCATCAGCTGCGCCATTTCGTAAGCACAATTGACCTGGTTGATTATAAGTGGGAGGGCCTGCTCTTTCTGCGACGGAATATGCTTGACAACTGTATGGAGCTTCAACTTGTCAACCAGAACTCGAGCTCGCGCTTTCTCTTTCTCTTCTTCTGACTCCACGTCGGCCAGTATTGCACTTCCTTTTTCCATCGCCGCCACTTTATCACCAAGCGCAAGCGAAATCGGGTCCAGAGACATGTATTCCATGCGCGTTGGGTGTGGGCGATTATACATTATGAACTGAATTGACAAGTTCGCATCATTCGAACACTGAATCTGCGGGGCCTTTGATGACGAATGCGTGGTGACATATAGATGTGAGGGATTGAATGATGTTGGAGGGGTGCGCGAATTGGCCGAGCCGAGAACGTGCATCTGAGAGCGTCCGCAAAGTGCAAATATTCTAACAATGGGGTGAGGACTGTTTCGAAAAAGTATGCCCGCCCGAAGCGCATTTTCGACATTCCGAGGCTAATGTTTGAGGATCGTGTTAGCATTTCACCATTGAAAACCAAAGGGAATCGGGCAACGAGCACGCACCTCAACATCCTCCAGAACTGTCAGAACGAATAGATCGAGCTCCGAATTCCGCCACCCCACGATCACTCCCGGTGACGAGGATCGCGGGAGATCATGTGGCCAAAATACCCGTAGCAAACCATCACTCATGAGCATGTTGTCATCCTCCGCTCAGCCTTCAGAATGAGCCCCGACGGCGAAGCTGCTCCCTGGCGGATACACCGAGATTCACGTGGCGCGGATGCTATTATATTCCAAGTATATCAGCCCCATGTGCTCCTCAACCATACGCCTCTCATGACTCTAGATATCCGGTATGTGCTTGGCATCTTGAGCTATGGGTAGAGCTCACCTGGCTTCCCTCTTTCGATGCGAGGAAATTGATTGGCACGATGAGTAGAAAGAAGAAAATGGACAGGAAGACGAATCCTTTGAGCGTTCGTGTCTAAAAGGTACAATTTATAGTGAGTATTTGAAATCCATTGGCGCGCATATATCCAGCCAAGCTTCAAGTGGGAACGGAGGGGCCACCTCGAAGCGGCCACGACAGCACTTACCACGACGTTGTGATCCCACGCAAATATCGCCAATTCGTAGAGGCGGGTGACAAGATCCCACCTGGCGGTGATGTAGCCCGCGACAAAGATCCCAAGGGTGAGGATGGAAAAGGGGTGCATGAATCAGGGTAGTTTGGGCGGTCCGCGTATTAGTTTGCGCGCATAGCTGAAGAGGCGGCAGTCAAATCCGTTTTAGAGGTTGAATTGCAAGGAGAGGGATCAAAGTCGCTAGTCGGTGAAAATGGAACTGAGAAGAAGCGCGAGCAACCTGAAGCAAACGAGGGACAGAGACGAAGAGGTCGACCCGCTCTCGCTGCACCACCGAGGCGAGGCGCGTTGTGTCCAGCCCGGGAGAGTTGCCCCACGTGACTGGCTCTGCCTGGATACCCTATCAGAGGAATGGCTGGTGTGTTTTTTCGCGCATAGATATCATTTAGAAAGTAATTTATGAATAAAACTTGAAAGATGATCCCGAAATACGTTAGGAGAGAATGTCTCATTGAATGTCTTTTTCGGGTGGTCCCTCCACCAACGCCATACTCCATAGGATAGCCTAGTCCCCACCCTTATAGAGCCTTAATACCCTGGAACACCTTATTTGCCTGCAGTTTGCTGTCCGCTTGGACCAAATCACGCATGATCTGGCGCTTTTGTTCCGATGACAGTTCTTTGCCCTCGATCTCTGCCTTCCATTTGACAAGCATGCCCTTCAAGAGTGTGCTGCCTTCTTCCACCTCCTCTTGGGAGTATTTCTCTAGTGAAGGTGTAGCCTGTTGCTGTTCGCCGTTCTCCGGATTTGCAGATGTAAAGTCTTCCAGCTCCTCTGCCTTTTGACGAGCCATGTTCACAACCTTGTCTGGGAACCGTACAAGCTCTGCTACATGAATACCGAACGACTGATCGCAGATGCCAGGCTCGACGCGGTAGAGGAGGGTGACTTGACGCTTCTTCTTTTCAGCCTCGTCGTCAGCAGTTGACTCATTGCCATCGCCAATGAATGCCACAACATGTAGGTTCTTGACGGCTTGCTGGTACCGATCAGCCAGAGCAGTGAGCTCATGGAAATGAGTCGCGAAGAGACCAAAACAACGGATCTCAGTCACTATATGCTCTGAAATCGCCCAGGCCAGACCGAATCCATCATAAGTGCTAGTTCCGCGGCCCAGTTCATCAATAATGATCAGGGACTCCGACGTAGCCGACTTGAGGATATTAGCAGTCTCGAGCATTTCGGCCATGAAGGTAGAGACACCCTTCAGCTGAGAGTCACTGGCTCCGACACGAGCAAGAATGCAGTCGAAGATGGTGAGTTCTGCTTCAGTACAGGGCACAAAGCAGCCTGTTTGGGCCATGAGCGCGATCACGCCAATTTGTCGAATGTATGTAGATTTTCCGCCCATGTTGGGGCCGGTGATTATTAGGAAAGAAGATTCATCTCGAATCAAGGAGACGTCGTTGGTAATGAATGAAATATCGTCTTGCATTTCCATGCAGGGGTGGCGGGCTTCCTTGAGCACTGTGTTTCCTGTACCCCGAGGATGCATTTTCGGGCGAACATATCCAGATGGAGCATGGACGGACGCGTGGGCAAAGCTCACGATGACATCGAGATGAGCTAGGACACCAGCAAGCTGCTCGACAACCGGGCAATACGAAGCAGCGACATTGACTACCTCGTTGACAAGTCCAGTCTGGGTGCGGTTGTAGTTGGAAGAAAGTTGGTCGTGCTCTCGGCGAAGCGACTGCATTGTCGTAGTCGTAAAATAGACACCGTTCTTCTGAGTAGAACACTCTTGGTATTCTCGTTTGTTGCGAATGCAACCAGCCTCGGTACGCGTGAGACGGAAGCACCAACCATGTGTTCGGTGGTTTTCCATGAATAGCTTCTTCTCCATTTCTTGATTCAAATCCTTCGCCACTCGGCGATGTTCCATGTCCATATCATATCGCAATTTGTCCAGCTTTTTCCGAATGACACGAAGGCCCTCGTCAAACTCGGGCTTGATGATGAACTCGTGGTTCTCCAGCGCATCCAGATCAACGGTGGTCTCGACCATTTCCTCGAGCTTGGCCAGGTTGTCTGAGTGGCTGCGGATTTTGGTAGTATACTCGGTTTCCAAAGGCGTCTGGTACTCTTCATCCATGACATCGCCGAGTGCACTCACAAATCCGGGAAGACGGATTGCTACCTGATACACCCGAACAACGTCCTCCAAGTTTGCCTGCTTCCTCTGGAAGCGTTTGGCAAGTCGATACAAATCAGGAATAGCACGTAGGTGCTCCTCTTGCATGGTTTGTCGCAGCTCTGTATTGACCACGAACGCCTCAACCAGTTGCTGTCGCTTCTCAATAGCGGCAAGATCCATAAGTGGCTGTTTGAGCCACTGCGCTAACAAACGGCTGCCAACAGGAGTTTTGCAATGGTTCAACAGGCCATACAAGCTCATGGTCTTGAGTCCGTCTCGCGGACCTGGCATCAGATTCAAAGCACGGAGAGCGGAAGCATCCAGTTTCATATACTGTGACAGGTCATGTTGGTAAAGCTGGTACTGGCCGAAGTTGGTTGGGTCGGTCATGACACCAAGATATTTGATCAAGGCAGACGCAGAGCCCATGGCAAGTTTTAGTTCCGTCTGAGGCAGAGTCGCAGCAGACCGTTCATCGCGGAGCAGACGAGTGAGATCCTGCTCAATGTCTCGGACTCCATAGTCGGCTGCCGGTCGTTCAGATATGGCAATACCGCAACTATCAGCGATAGCCCGGATCTTGCCCAGTTCGACATCCTTCCGCGACGCATCCATCTGAACTAGACATTCTTTGACACCCAGCTGGATGACCAATGATTCAAAGTTGGAGAAAACATCGTTGTCGATGAACTCGCTCACACCAAGCTCACGTACACTAGCATCTGCAAAACACACGCCGATGTTTCTAGCTTCACCCGCGCGAGCAGATATCTTGACAGCGAGAATAATGGGCGCCGAGTCCATTGACAATGCTCCGACGCTCCCCAGCTCCTCTTCGACATCTTGGAGGTTTCCCGGGCTAGCCTGCTTTCCTAGCTTCCAGTTGCCCTTGCCCGTGCCACCAGAGACCCAGATTTCGATCCGCTTATTCAATCTGAACAGAGCCTCGCGCAGGAAGTTGCGGAAGACAGTAATGCTCATTGTGACGGAGGCTAGACCGCCAGTCTCACTGCGACCTAGGTTGCGAAGAACGGAGGTCGTCTTGTACACGGTACGAGCGATGAATTCGGCATCGCTGCCGTGGGAGGAGTACCAGTCTCCACGGTCGAAGACACGTATCGTTTCATTGTTGTCCGACTCGGGAAGGGATTTGTAAAAGCGGATAAAACCGACTTCGTCGTCGACCTGTGGTGTTGGGAGGATGGTTAGCGATTATTTGCTGACGATTAATATGGATAAGAATTTTGGAGGCTGACTTTGAGATCCGGTCGTGAGGACATCCTGTTGACGGGACGTTTCTGCAAACAGTGGAAGCAGATGCAGTGAGTTCACCAGGCATTGAGGAGTACTGTTACCCATCGACCGACGCGCCGGCCGTGGGCGCGCCTGCACGTGATACGCGTCACGCGTAAAGTACTCGCCAATAGGGCAGTCTAAGTAGGAAATTCTATAATTGGAATTTAAGATGTAAATGGCCAGGTTTTGTTCTTTGTGATATGTATTATATTAATTTGAGGGTATTGTAGGGGGTCTAATAGCTAAAGTGCCTCCTGATAGTGGAGGGTAAGACATGATAAGCTAGAGTACAGGAGGGTATCAAACAACGCTGATGGAGGACCGCTTGGAGACCAGCTCCGAAGGGCCAATATGAAACATTCACACAATTTGACGATACAAGATCTTTCAAATGCTCTTTAGGATGGAAGTTTGGATGCAAGAGCCAGTCTTGTCTCCATCCCCCTCCAATTGGGAAACTTTCTTCACGATATCCTTTGTCGCAATGTCCTTGCAGGATTTCAGCACTACCGAACGCATCTCATTGATTGTCACAATGTTGATCCAATGTCCGGCAACACGAGCATCTGCAAGAAGCTCGATGCACATCTCCACTTCTTCTTTAGGAATCGGGTTGCGAACCGAGTCGCGCACGTGCTCGACCATAGTCTCGAGCTTGAATGGTTTGCGCTGAGCGGCGAGCATTGCTTTGATACCAGTTCCCACGTATCCAGCAGGGCGGAGAAGAGCAAGGATTCCGGCGACCTCCTCAACTCGCTCGGCAGCAGACTTGCGAATAAGCTCCTTCTTCGTTGGTGGAGGCGGCAGCTTGGATTGGACCATCTCCTTATTCCTAATTCGGTCAAGGAGGCCTTGTCGGCGATTGTTGTTAACTGCCAAGGTCTTTGGACCGCCGTTCTTGATATCTGAGCTCATCATTTCGGTCCTCATGCGGATGATGCCGCCTCTCAAGTCTTGCAGGCGTTGTTGACCTTTCTGAAACGCGGAAAAGGGGGCAAGGGACTCGTGGATGGTGGCGAGACCAAGGGTTTCAAGGAACAGAGCTGGACGGTCTTCTTCAGCAGCCGCTTTCAGAGAATCTTCGGTCTGCTCCCAAAGAAGATCAAATGCTTGCTCAAATGCATCTTGCAGAGCTGATGGTTGATCGTCGATCTGAACGGCACGCTCAAGGCAGACTTTTCCAAGACCATAATTGGCAATACGATAGGAGATATCCTTGGCTTTCAAGCTGCGCTCCCAGACCCAGACCAGACGCTGAAGATCTTTAGGCTGAACCTTGCGCTTCTTCCAAATCCGGGTGACGCTGGGAAGGAATTCTCTTAGATCGGCGGGTGTTGATGGTCCATTGTGGGCTGAGTGGATAGAAAGGGCCTGAACCATGGCTGAGTGGAGGTCGATAAATTCGATAATGCATTTGGCACGAGGCGCAAGTTTGGGCTCGGGGACGACTTTTTGGAAGTTGAGAGTGCGTTGCTTGGAAGGGGTGTTGGGTGTGGAGGGAGATTCTGCGATTTTGGCTGGAGTACGCGTGCGGCGGCTCGGGGTACGCTTAGGTGTAGCATAGTGGCCGCTGCGAGGCGAGGAAACAGACAGTTGGCTGAGTTTCAGAGTCTTGGATGGGGTCTCGGCTTCTTCAATGACGGGCTGTCGGTTCGAGGTGTCGAAGTTTTCGAGTTCCTGCAATTTTCGTTTCTTGGACGGGGAGACTGGGAGGGTTGCGGATTTCTTTGCGGGCAATTGCGGCGTGACACCAGCCTTGGTTGCCCGGCCAAAGACTGAGATTCCTGGCTGGGCCTGAGGAAGGCAGGACGCTCTGGTGGTGCGCATCGCGGCTGCTGTCGGCAAGTCTTTTCCCACGCTTTGTTGCTTCCGAGCGTCGATTGCAGTTGGTCGAGGCTTGGGAAGTCGCGATGGATAGATGCAAGCTGTGAATAATCAGGGTAAGAGATACCTATGAGAAAATGAAGGTAAAATGAGGAAAGCTCAACTCTGGAGAGGAAGAATCAAAGTTGTGTCGGGGGGGGAAGAGAGGCGCGGTTAAGACGCGTCGCGTTGAAAACCGCCCTTGACCCAATTGGGGTTAATTAAATTAGGGTGGAGACGCGTCGCGTGGATCACAACGTGTAACACAGGTAACGCACAGAACAGAGAAGAAATAACAAAATTATAGGTTTGGGGCTTCTGAGTAAGAAAGGGTAATCACCAGTGTCTGAGATGTGGGATTCGCCAGATAAAATAGAAAAATGGACGAGGGACATCTCGGTGGGGTGGCATTCTCGTCACTATGGTAATCCCCTGGCATCGGAATGCGCCATAGACTGCACGGGCAAATGCCCGATAGTCCCCCGAACCGTCAATTGGTTTGTGCCACTCCATACTCCTGCAATTAATCCGACTGCTGCGAGTCAAACAAGTGGGGCAGGCATTGGACTAGAAAACACTTCACACTCCCTACCTACCACAATGCACATGAGGATCATTGGGATCATTGCGGCCACTGGCAGATATCTAGGTACTGCATGATTGAACGGCTTTGTTGACGCTGGTTGAATGAGAGAGTACTAGTATATCAAAGTCATCATTCGAGCGGACTTTGCACCAGCTGAAGCGAGCAACTGCTCCTGGCAAGTCAGGGCGAAGCGGTCGCCATCGCGTTCACGTTACGCCACTGGAGAAGAAATTACTACCCTGTATGGCTAGGATACATAGAGAAGATGAGTGGTACTTAGCTAGGTACTAGAAGTGGTTTACGACTTGGACGTTTTTGAGTACCGGGCTAGATCATGATGCAAGTCGCAGAGGATCTATGTTCTACACCAAGTGCCTAGATACTAGTAGTATGGAGTACATGGGTATGAATTGCATCTATATCTTCAAACAGGAGGGATATCCTAGCCTCGGCCAGCTTCTACTAGTACCTACTTGTACCGGAAGCCACTAGAGCATTCGATAAACCATACAAGGTGATCAGAACAGTTCAAAGAAGATGTATTAAAGTAACAGTCATGCACATCATAGTCGCAAAGTATCGGTATCATGGGACCACGGCCCCAGCGACTCAAGCAGCATCATACCCAGACATAAAGAACGAGCTACTTCTACTTCTTCCCACCAAACCAGCCAGAGACATTTCCCTTGGCCTCTGCCGCCTTCTGCTCAACAGTCCGATCCACCTGGTCAATCTTGTTGCGGGCGTCCTGGCGGAGTCCATCGAGCTTATCCTTGCCATCCTGGGCTAGTTCGGGGATACGCTCGTCCAGCTTGAACTTAGATCGGGCATTGTTGATCTGTATTTATCTAGTCAGCGATGGTGGGAAGTGACGAAGAGGATATCCAGATCGTTAGCGTACAGCTTCGTCAACCTGGTAACCGGCTTCTTTGCCAATTTCTGCTCCCTTCTGTTGCGCATCATCGCCACGGGGGAGCTTCTCGCGCGCCTTCTCGGCATCGACTATTTGGACTCACACGTTAGTTGGATCCCAATGCTGATTTAGATGGTCGCATGGTTTGCTCAATAACGTCGGAATGGAGGATACGCACACTTCATTTCCTTCTTGGCACCCTGGACATCGCCGCCAGCACGGTAGAGATAGTACCCGCCAGCGCCAGCAGCGGCGAGACCGAGGTAAAGGCCCGTTCTGTTCTTTGACATGATGAGATCTGATTTGAATGTGTGAAGGGGAAATTTTTCAAGGAGACGAAAACCTGTCAGAAGGCGAGAGTGCTGGTTAGGGATGCCTGGTTTTTAAACGAGCCAGAACAACAAGGTCGCAGCCACCGAGGCGATGACGTCTTTCCCATGGAGCTCCCGTTCACGTTCACACAGGGCCGTGGCCAGCCCTGCTGTTGCCTCCTCCTTTTTGGACATATGTTCAGTTTAGGTGAGTTAAATCTTGCATTAGTACATTTGTTTTCAAGCCATTAAATGATAGACGGCTGTTTCTTATTCTCTCTTATTCGACTTGGTCAACCCGGTCTCTTGCTTCACCCCACGCCGCAGAGCAACCAGGGCTGCTGCACTGACCCCGACGTCACCGACCAGTCATAGTCGCCTCGAGCTTCCGTCTCCTATTCGCACAGACGACCCACTGTCTCTTCTTCACAAGCTAGATTTGGTCCATTCTCATCCATGGGATGGGAAGCCAGATGCCGAGAGACTTCTGTAGTTCAAAGTGCGGGAACGGGTCGATCTTTCGGTCTTGCGGGGTAAACGTCATCATTTTAATGGTCACATACATTGGTGCCCCAGCCACACTGTATACTACTAATAGAGTTATTGAAGTCAAAATGGTTGTATTGATGCAAATTGCATATGCAGTCATATTGGAAATAAACATATCATAAGTTCAGATGAAATCCCGTATGTAACATGACATGACATGATATGATCCACCACATGACAGAAAAAGAGAAGACGGATCAAAGAGGAGGTGAAATGAAAATGGAGTAAAATAGTATAGTAAAACAGGCAACGGAACTGGAACTGTAGACTCGATGTGAATAAACCACCGGCCAAATCAAGAGGAAGCGGGGAGGAAGACACTGTACGACAAGCAGAGTATCGAAGCGGTCGAAGGCACACCACGACCAAGAAAGGGGGAGGGGGTGAAAACCAATTCATCGAGACTGGGGTATCGGTCATGCACACGATTCCATCCAAACGCTCCTGCTCGAAACGCCGGGACATGCAGCAGGGAACCGTCAACCGGGGTACAAGAACCAACCAGAGGGAAAACGAAGAAGAAAATAAATAAAAAACAGAGATCAAAAGCGACACCAACAAAAACCAAACCAACCCCAACAATGGACTCCAAAACACACAAGGAGATTTCATTTCATGTATAAATTCGTTAATTCGTCACTTCATCAGGAGCTCTGCACAGTTGTGGGTTGAGAGAAAAGGAAAAGAAGAAAGAAAGTAGGCCGAGCAGGGAAATGTGCTCTCAATTACTTTCTTATGTGGGTGATTGAAAGAGAGCGAGTGTCGAGTATGAATGATGTGAGGGGTTCCAATAGCGATTTCAATTCACGCCAGATATCCAACGTGAATGACAGATGCTTTTTCTTCCAAAACGATTGTATGTAGCACCTATTGTTCGAAATTCATTGGGCGCGGCAATTTACAGGAACAACTTGGCAGTCCCTTTGTTTTCACTGGTTGCGACAGCCACCAGGGCCTCAAGCCGTCCCATGCCAGAATCTCGTGCGGAGGAGTCCGGGAACGCATCCGATCGGGGCTCTTGCTCGACATGACCAGGGTAGCCGTCGGCGTGGGAAGCTTGTCGACCACAGATCTATGACGGCATTAGTAACCGAGGCGAGAGCCGTCCGTTCGAAGAGGAGTTCCTACCGATTGAGGATGAGCGGGTGGAAGCGAGGAGTCGTGAGATTCAATATATCCGCTGCTGTGTACGATCGCCGGGTGGTACTCGACCGAGGCCGTGGATGGGGTATTTACACCCTCGCTACTGCTGGAATCTTCTGGGGAAGTGTGAGACGGTCGGCTGCTAATCGAGAGGTTATGCGCATGCCCGCGATGCTCCTCGGGGCTTCGTTCCGCAGTGGGTCCAAATGTTGGTTGGTAAGATGAAGAGGGGCGAGAGGAGACATTGTGAAGCTCTTGGATGGTCTGTTGGCTCCACTGCGATGCGTCCCTTGATGACCGACGATCACGAATGTCAAGGCCCGTCAGATTGGTATGCAGAGACATATCCCAAGATACATGGCCACGACGATGACCGGGACCAGAAATTGGAGGCGCGGGGCGCACCGATGGCTGGGAGTAGTTGAAAGTGATGCCAAATGCATGGGTAGAACTCGGTGGAGGCGGGCGGTGTTGGTTATCGAGGTGCATCGGGCTCGCCTTCCGGGTAGGTGGGGTCAAAGGTCGCTGCTGGGAGACGACTTTATCGAAGCTCTCGATTCCGGGTAGTCGAGGTGGCTGCTCAGTCGAGTTATTCACTCCGAATAATGGAGGCTGGACGGTGTCGGGTGTATGGTATTGACTCAGGCCGCTAGTGCTTGGCCGACCAAATGTAGGGTAGGTGGAAGGGTGCCAGGTTCGTCTCCGCATTTCGGCTTCGGCAGCGCTGATTGTACTCTCGTCCCGTGAAGCCGGGTAGTTGCTGCTGGTAGGGCTAGCAAACACACCAGCTGCAGTTGGGTAGGGAGGCCCCGCCGGTGAGTTGGCGTAAGCAGGAGGGTAGGCATTTCCATGCTGTGCGAGAAACGGATTGCTACTAGTTGGTACAGAAAGCCGGCGTGCAGCTGTCTTACCCTCCCAGAAGCCGTGTGACGCAGTCGACATGGGCGAGGCGAAGTGTGGACTGCTGCCTGCTGCGGCAGAGTATGCATTGGATGGGGTGTATGGCGAACCTGTGGCTGCAGGACCTGGAATGCCACGAACTTGGCCCGGTGGCGTACTTGGGGGCTCTCCCATAGGATCCAGTCCTAATCGAGCTCGAGCCGTCGGGTCGGTAGCCATCATCAACGGCGGGGGCCTACGCCGAAGCTCTGGGGGTTGACTATATGTAGAGGCGGTAGATGTGATGCTGGAGGTTGAGAGATTCCGACTATGGCCTCGGCTGTGGCCTCCCTGACTGCCTCCGGTACCAGCTCGTGCCCGGCCAGGAGGACGTACTCGATCCGTTCGTACCTGACGTTGAAAGCGGGTGCCGGTCGCGGCTAACGAGTCACCAGGTATCTCCTCGTTCACGTGGACGGTCTGCGCATGTTGTCGAAGGTTATCAAGTCTGGAAAAACGGCGAGAACAATGACACTGAAAGGGGCGTTCCCCGGTATGCTTTCGAATATGTCGGGCCAAATGC